CGTGTACGATAGCGTGTTCCAGTTCCCGCCAATATCCAGCAACTTCGCACAGCCATTGAAGAGGAGTGGGACAACATTCCACAGGCCACAATCAACAGCCTGATCAACTCTATGCGAAGGCGATGTCACGCTGCATGAGGCAAATGGTGGTCACACCAGATACTGACTGGTTTTCTGATCCAACAGATGCATATCTGTATTCCCAGTCATGTAAAATCCATAGATTAGGGCCTAATGAATGTATTTCAATTGATTGATTTCATTATATGAACTGTAACTCAGTAAAATCTTTGAAATTGTTACATGTTGCGTTTATATTTTTGTCCAGTATTTGTTCAGGTTTCCAGATGAGATGAGCTGTGGCATGTACTACAGCACGTAGCTAAACGTCTCAAAGACCATGAGCTCACTGATATGGCAGTGTGTGTGTGCGAGCACTTGTTTCAGCTGTTAAACTTGGTAAGCCAAGTGTAAGCCAACCTATCATTATTATGATCGAATCATTCAGACCAAGCCATAACCATTCACGCCACCTATGGCATATGGTAAGGTGAATAGTTCAACTGAGGATGTGAAGTACAAATATATCACTTTTGAATTGCTTCAGAGAAAAGCAAAGTGATGCATCAAATTTTCCCACAAAAATAAATGCACTCTCTCACGTACAGTATTACTTAATGAACTAGTTATTTAGAAGAGGATGAGCTGCAGTTTCCCATACTGTGACGTTGATGCAATTACTACCCTTGGTTGTTTATCTTTTCAATGTGCCATAAAGAACCAACCCTGACCTGACATTGACTCAACCGGATGTAGCCTAATAAGGGGAAGAACCACGACTACTAAAAAAGGGGCTATTAAACTTGTCATGACACATTTTATCTTGCATCAAGTACAGTTCACAATGTATCACAAGCCCTTCTTTATCGGTAACAATGACATCTTATGATTCAACATTCTTCCATCATATAATTGGTTAAACTATACAAATGTATGTCTTATCATGAATGGTCACAATGTTTTTACTGATGTAATTGAAAAGAAAGCGGTATACTGAGGGTCATTGGATGTGTGTAAATGTAATGCCTGTAATGATGCAGGCGTGTTACTCAACAGCTGGTGTCTTTGCGGACCATTGGTGCACACAGCTTATGGCTGATTAACCATTACTTAACTAGGAAAAAGGTGGGACAAGGTCCTATTTCTAAAATACTTAAATAACATGGTGTCAAAAATATTCATACCAGTCTATAAATATAAATCTACACATTTATTTCCATTGGTATCAGCAATTGATATTGTTAACAAACCCAGAATTTAAATCATTTACATTTACATTTTAGTCATTTAGCAGACGCTCTTATCCAGAGCGACTTACAGTTAGTGAGTGCATACATTTTTCATACTGACATGAGACATGAGGGGTGGGATGTGTGTTCTGGGTGATGGGTCCACACAGTGTCAGAACAACAGCATCCCCATGCTGACTAGTGGGTTGGCTGCCTGTGAACATCTTTTTTTGTCCTGTTACTGTGCTACATTTGGACATGCTTAATTACCCTATTTTCATAGCTGTGGTTAGTTAGTTAGTTAGTATATTACCGTAGCTGCATATCAGATGAGGCTAGCTACTCCTGAAACTCACAGCCAGAGCTAACGCCACCAGCAGCCTAGCCATGCCGCGCAGCTAGCTAACCGTTTATTCATTAAATCAGACTCAGTCACTCTTCAAACAAGAAACTTTAAAATGACAAAAACTGCCCTAACACCATTATCGTTATACTACCATATGAGAGTTAAACAATTCCTTGACGGCTGGTGAAGGAAGGATGAATGGTGGCTTTGAAAGGTGGTTCTGAGGAGTGCAGGGCAAGGTTGGTTAACCTTTTCAGCAGGGAAGGCCTGGTTGTCATAGTCCTCAGCTGGAGCAGCAGGTTGCTAGTGGCATAGCTGGGTAGCACAGGGACTGGTAATCATAGATGCATTGTGGGTATGGGGGACGGGACGGGATGAGTATTATGGAGGCCAGAGGGTAGATCAGGGGATGGCAAATTGAACCACTAGATCTTCTTTAGCATCCACTCATATGACCAAGGCAGCAACAGCATGCCAAATACAAATGTATGCTTGGCAACGGCATGCATGTACCCCTCAACCTTGTTTGTACATGTAGACGCCATGAAGTGCCATTTATGTATTCCTGTGTCATCCTCACACCAAAAGTCTCTCTCACTTATAGGCAAATTGATCCAATGATCATCATTACAATTATAAGCAGGCTTCACGTGAGAGAGATGAGTGTCCTCAGGTTCGCAACATTTTGACAAGTCAGTCACATATTTGCAGACATTCCAGTTAATGCCCCACCCTCTTGACGAGTTGGTAGTCCACAAATAATGTCCATATCTCCCTCCTCAATGTACTGCAATTACATTTACCTTTTAGTCATTTAGCAGACGCTCTTATCCAGAGCGACTTACAGTTAGTGAGTGCATACATTTTCATACTGCAATCAATGTAGTTAAGGTTTACATAAGTTTACATAAACCTTAACCAAATACATTTAAACTCATATTTTCACAATTCCTGACATTTAATCCTAGTAAAAATTCCCTGTCTTAGGTCAGTTAGGATCACCACTTTATTTTAATAATGTGAAATGTCAGAATAATAGTAGAGAGAATGATTTATTTCAGCTTTTATTTCTTTCATCACATTCACAGTGGGTCAGAAGTTTACATAGACTCACTTAGCATTTGGTAGCATTGCCTTTAAATGGTTTAACTTGGGTCAAACGTTTTGGGTAGCCTTCCACAAGCTTCCCACAATAAGTTGGGTGAATTTTGGCCCATTCCTCCTGACAGAGCTGGTGTAACTGAGTCAGGATTGTAGGCCTCCTTGCTCGCACACGCTTTTTCAGTTCTGCCCACAAATGTTCTATAGGATTGAGGTCAGGGCTTTGTGATGGCCATTCCAATACCTTGACTTTGTTGTCCTTAAGCCATTTTGCAACAACTTTGGAAGTATGCTTGGGGTCATTGTCCATTTGCGACCAAGCTTTAACTTCCTGACTGATGACTTGAGATGTTGCTTCAATATATCTACAGTGGGGAAAAAAAGTATTTAGTCAGCCACCAATTGTGCAAGTTCTCCCACTTAAAAAGATGAGAGAGGCCTGTAATTTTGAATGGGGCCATGTATCGTAAGATTTTGAGTGAAAACCTCCTTCCATCAGCAAGGGCATTGAAGATGAAACGTGGCTGGGTCTTTCAGCATGACAATGATCCCAAACACACCGCCCGGGCAACGAAGGAGTGGCTTCGTAAGAAGCATTTCAAGGTCCTGGAGTGGCCTAGCCAGTCTCCAGATCTCAACCCCATAGAAAATCTTTGGAGGGAGTTGAAAGCCCGTGTTGCCCAGTGACAGCCCCAAAACATCACTGCTCTAGAGGAGATCTCCATGGAGGAATGGGCCAAAAATACCAGCAACAGTGTGTGAAAACCTTGTGGAAAACATTTGACCTGTGTCATTGCCTACAAAGGGTATATAACAAAGTATTGAGAAACTTTTGTTATTGACCAAATACTTATTTTCCACCATAATTTGCAAATAAATTCATTAAAAATCCTACAATGTGATTTTCTGGAATTTTTTTTCTCAATTTGTCTGTCATAGTTGACGTGTACCTATGATGAAAATTACAGGCCTCTCATCTTTTTAAGTGGGAGAACTTGCACAATTGGTGGCTGACTAAATACTTTTTTTCCCCACTGTACATAATTTTCCTTCCTCATGATGCCATCTATTTTGTGAAGTGCACCAGACCCTCCTGCAGCAAAGCACCCCCACAGCATGCTGCTGCCACCCCCGTGCTTCACGGTTGGGATGGTGTTCTTCGGCTTGCAAGTCACCCCCCTTTTCCTCCAAACATAACGATGGTCATAATGGCCAAACAGTTCTATTTTTGTTTCATTAGACCAGAGGACATTTCTGCAAAAAGTACGATCTTAGTCCCCATGTGCAGTCGCAAACCGTAGTCTGGCTTTTTTATGACGGTTTTGGAGCAGTGGCTTCTTCCTTGCTGAACGGCCTTTCAGGTTATGTCGATATAGGACTCGTTTTACTGTGGATATAGATAATTTTGTACCTGTTTCCTCCAGCATCTTCACAAGGTCCTTTGCTGTTGTTCTGGGATTGATTTTTACTTTTCGCACCAAAGTATATTAATCTCTAGGAGACAACGCATCTCATTCCTGAGCGGTATGACGGCTGCGTGGTCCCATGGTGTTTATACTTGCGTACTATTGTTTGTACAGATGAACATGGTACCTTCAGGCGTTTGGAAATTGCTCCCAAGGATGAATCAGACTTGTGGATGTCTACAATGTTTTTTCTGAGGTCTTGGCTGATTTATTTTGATTTTCCCATGATGTCAAGCAAAGAGGCACTGAGTTTGAAGGTTGGCCTTGAAATGCATCCACAGGTAGACCTCCAATTGACTCAAATGATGTCAATTAGCCTATCAGAAGCTTCAAAAGCCATGACATCATTTTCTGGAATTTTCCAAGCTGTTTAAAGGCACAGTCAATTTAGTGTATGTAAACTTCGGACCCTTTGGAATTGTGATACAGTGAATTATAAGTGAAATAATCTGTCTGTAAACAATTGTTGGAAAAATTACTTGTGTCATGCACAAAGTAGATGTCCTAACAGACTTGCCAAAACTATAGTTTGTTAACAAGAAATTTGTGGAGTGGTTGAAAAACAAGTTTTAATGACTCCAACCTAAGTGTACGTAAACCTCAGACTTCAACTGTATATGGCCTAAGTGCCTATTTTGTTGCAGTTCAGTGGCAAATTGCCTCGTTGTTGTACAGGTAATATGCTGTTCAAGCAAATGTTCTGAGAGAGAGAATTTCCAGCTTGGTTAGTTCCCAAGAGACCATGTTTAGGGCAAAAAGTGATGGCAAAAAATTAAAATGATGACAGTACAAAGCAGTCTTTTATGAAGTTTTTGGGATTTGAATCATGCACACTCTAACATATTCAAAAATATAGTATGGATGTGTGTGTATGTCATAGATTCGATATTAGGGAAATCAGTGTGGCCTATAAATTGACTACCTTGACATTTAAAATTAGCTGTACTGCTCCGCTTGAAACCAGAGGTGCTATAGTGCGATACCGCATCAGATGCTGAGAATCCACATCAAGATACACGACATACTCTCTGATAGAAAATATTGGACAAAAAAATTCGAATGAGTTCTTAGCAAACGACCGGGCATTTCAATCAATAAGAATACACTGTCCGTGGAGTAAGCCGGTATAATATTCTTGAGGACAGTAACAGTACATAGAAAACACATTGCGTTAAATACAGACACATGCTGCCACCTTCTGGATCTACAGAATACTACAAAATAACATCCAATGTGCTCCTCTTCAGAAAAGGAATCAAGACAACTTCTATTCTTGATACATTATCATCAAAGTGAGATAGGTAGTATAATATGTTTTCCTGTCTCTCCCTCACACATAGGAACACAAAGGAGTCCAGACAGGGCTCTGGGAACATATCGTTACACATGGAAGTTAATCATGTGACAAGAGAATACAATGCTTCCATCCGTGATAATTAAACATTATGCCACTGATAGTTTTTACAAGCAGTCACTTAAATATTGGAATAGTTAATGTAAATATCTTGCTTTCAGCATATCTACTGTCTGTAGATTGGGGGGCATGTGTTTCAGAGCTACAGCCTTCAGATAGGTCTCTGTTTTGGCCAGATATCTAAATGGAAGAGAGGGAACACATCACATCACTAATGTTGCAAACATATGATAATAATAATGGAAGTAAATATGACATTCAAACAACTCAATGACTTTCCTCCAGCGATGGTCATTGTAACTGCAAGCTACAACACTCACTCTTTGGCGAAGGAAAACTCCTCTGGAGACAGGAATGAAGGATCTCCCTCTGCTCGAGACTTCTCTTTCTCCAAGACATGTGGGGAAAATGTCTCAATCTACACAGGCAACAGAGGACCAGAGAGAAAGGTGTCAGTCTGAGCATTGATTTATAGCCCCTCTCATTAGAAGATGATCATATAATGCTGGGTTGTTGTTGTTGACATTACCTTTTGGAGGTAGCTGCTGAGGACAAAGCGGATCCTGTCAATCTCCATGCGGTGGACACTGGCCTTCACATCACCCCTCCAAACCTGCTGCAGGTTGGCCTCCTGTCAATGGAGACAACACAACATAGAAGTCCTGTTATTACTGGTACCTCACTGTTTACTGAGACACAGCTGCTGCACCCCTCAGTTATTTGAGGAACCCCACCACCATCTACCATGTGAGTCAGCTGCTCCATCCCCCATCTCTGACTTGTTCTCCAGAAGCTCAGGAGAGAACTTCTCATTCAGCCAGGCCTGGGGGACAGAGGAACACACAGTCCACTTTACATAGAGTAGCAGCAGTGATAAATACGTATTTTGTTTTGACAGGATCTGTACATTGCAAAACGTATCTGTCTGGCTACAGTATAATGAACATGGTTAGCTGGTTAGCTACTTAGCTACCTCTTCCAGTTTCCCAATCAGCTCCGCTGGAGTCATCACATCTTCTTGGCCGTCATTTCCTCTGCTGGCATCATCAGACAACGCATCCGACATGATTGCTCTGCAGTTTACTTGCTTTACCTACACCACAAATATTTTGCGGCTGCCCCGAAAAAATGTGGTACTCTGTTAAACTAGCTACGCAGAATGTTAACTTTCTACATTATATCTAGAAATAACAACACTGTAAATGACATCGACAGCTCACTGACCTCCCTCCGAAACAAAAATCTCACACTTCCGGTAAAATTTCGCGCAAACTGAAAGCGCTGCGTGATGACGTCTGTAGACGTTCAAACATTAGCAAAGAATGCGCAGTCAGAGACAGTAAATACATTCTTCCATAATCTCTGGCCTAGTGTTTGGTTTACAAAATGATGTTTTATTATTATTATTTGCAAAAAGGTATGTTTTTATTGCCATTCTATGTCTTGAGTTGTGGACATTTATGGAATAAGGTGGTCTACTTTCCATGGATTAAGTGCTGCATGTCCCCTTTCTCAAAAAAAATTTGTGGAGCATGTTTATTTTAAGTTTAATTTGTCTCAATGAATTAAAATACATGTAGAAAATTACAAATTACTATGGTTATTTACATACCAAAGAATGCAGACTAGGATCAGACAGGAATGATTTTACATTTTATTCAGAAATAAACAAATACATCTGTGTTATTTCATATTATTTCCATGTAAAATTATTTTATCATACCATAAAAAACGTGCATACAGTAAACCCGAAGGCTATTGATACAAATACAGAAATACTATTTTGTATTAGTGCAATTCTGTCAGTTGCCACAGAGGGGAGCACATCTCGGCATAATAATCACAACACAACGTTTCTCTGTCGAACACTCACATAGAGTGCAGCTGTGTTCGAGTGAAGTTTCGAAAATGTCTAGAACGAAGCAGGTACTGTAATTATCTCCGTTTGACTTGTCACATTGTCTATAAGCTCTGAGAGAGTTAGGCTGGGCTATCACAGCTTAGTTTGAGGATAATGCACACCAGTGATGCTGTATCCAGTATGGGGATTCCACATAGGAATAGAATAGGGATAGGAGTAGAGAGCAGGCTCATAAGGGGAAGCATGGGTGTGTCCCGTTGGGGCATGACGGTACATAGGGTTGGCCTGGGACTGAGGCAGTCTGTGGGTGGATAGAAAGAGAGGGTGTACAGGTGGCTTCTGCCCAAAGTCTCCCCTTGTCTTGTCATAGGCTGGGACGAGGTAGGACACTGGGATGCTGGCATTAGAGTGGAATAAAGGTTGTTGCGTTGGAAGTGGCTTGGGCAACATTGTCATGGACTTCTCCTTTTTCTCTGTCTGATAATGTCGAGGGACCATATGTAGTTTCTTAGTATAGATCAGATCATTTTGCAACATGGGCCTATTTGGGTTCTGATGGAATGTGTAACCTGGCCGAAAGGGTATAGGCCGCAAAGGCTCCATAGATTTGGGATAAACCTTGGTGAAACTGGAGGTTGATGGAACAAAGCAAGATCTAACAGTATACGTGCAGGACGTTGGTGGGGGTATTTGGTGAGCTGGACGTCTGTTACTCCCATTGCAGACAGTGCTCCATACAGAGTTTTTACTCTGACCTTTGATAGAAACTGTGTCACCCGGTAGAGGGCTGACCTGAGGGAAATCTTTTTGTCCTCCAGGGAAGCCAACATATTCCTTGACATCAGGGCTGCAGCTCTGAGGCTTGTGTACCCCACTGTGGGCAGATATAGGTTTGCTGGGAAAATGAAGCGGTACTTCTGGTTTTGGTACTGGGGGCCTGTCTTCAGTTAGTGCTGGACAGTCCTCAGAGGAGATGGAGTAGGGGGACGGGCTACGGGAGGAGGAGGAGGACGGAGGGAGAGGAGAGCCCTCAGAGGTAGTGCGTGTCCGGCTGGAAGGGTCCAGCCCTGGGGACTGGGAGCAGTGGATCACAGAGGGCCTGCCCTTACAGTCCTCCTGTCTGGGGCTCTGGCAGTCCTGGGACTGGCTAAGGCTGGCCTGGGCCATACGCTTCTTCTTCTCCAGAGGGGAGATGACCTGACCTGGCTGGGATAGGGAGTACGCTGAGGAAGAGAGGTCGTCACCGACGGTAGTCTCATTGTTTGGTGGAGGACGGTCTGGGTGGAGCCTTTCAGGTGGAGTGGTCCATGGACACGATGGAATAGAGTGTAGCTGGCCCTGTAACATGACAACATGTAGAAGTCACTTCCAGTCGTACAGTTGGGGGTTCAGTAACTGTATGACAACTATAGGCTGGAGTAATAGAAAACAGACAGTGACTTTGTTATGACAATAGTCACGAACAGGTGAAAAGTGAAGTACCTCAGAGTCTGTCTCCTTTTCCAGATGGGGTCTCTTCCTCTTGCCCTCAGACATGCTGCCCTCAGGGCTCCTCTTGTACTGTTTGCGTGGTTTGCTTGGAGGCAGAGGTTTGTCCTCCTCCCCCCTCAACTGTCTCTCAAAGGGTAAAACAAGCCTGTATTGAACACAAATAAATGACACAATGAAAACAGGCAGAGATGGAGTGAGTTGAAGACAGGTTAGCTGGAGCAGTGTCTGTCCTCACCTCTCATAGTGTCTGCGGGTACAGGTAGCAGCGCTGGTGCTGCCTGGGCTGCCCCCCAGCTCATCATACACATTCTTCCACAGCCGTCGTGCTGTCACCTGTTGGGAAACACGCCATAGTGAGCAAACACACCCCTCTAAGTCCCTCATCCAGAACCATTATGCATTAATTTGAGGTATAGTATACTGTATAAGACGTCTAATCTGTCTTTTTATATTAAGAATATATGGAGGGAGATGAATGGCCCATTACTAAAATAGAGAACAAGGTCTTACTATAGGCCAAGCTCCTGTGAACTCTGAATTGGCATTTCATAGAAACCCTTCCTCTCTCAGCACATTGAGCGTGTACACATGCCACAGAATGGAAACATCATTTAGCAGTCAGTGTGGACTCTGCTCTTAATGTGGTGGGTACGGTCATGTTTACATCCTGTCAACTAAAGATAATGTTCCACACAAGAAGCTAAGTTGCATGGTCTCTTTCACAACATAAAAAAAATTGCCACTGCCATCTCTGTATGTATGATCAACAACCAGGTCAAGTGTAAAAAAATATAGAACTATTCTGTACTATATGGGTGTACTCACAGAGTCGTAACTGCCAAGCTTCTCAACAGCTTTGTAGATTTTCCACAGGTTAACTGCAAGTAGAAATCATATGCATTTGAACATTGGGGACATTGCACAATTCTTTAATTAATATTGTATCATTACCTATGAAGCTACAGTATGATTAAATGGTCTTAACACATGCATTTACAAACTACCCCAGAGATTGAGGTGATCTGGGGAGCAGGGAAAATTAATCTATATAACAGAGATAGAGTAATAAAGCTATGGCTATATCCTTTGAACATGGACTCACTCTGCTTAAAGCCCAGGTGTGGTATCCTCTCGATGGGTGTGCCTCGGTCTTTCATGAAACAGTGCAAACTGGCTATGAAGGACCTCTCCTCTGTCTCCATTGGGCTAGACCTTGGAGGCTCCTCAAATTCACTGGCTGAGTCAGAAATCTCCAACGCTGCAGAATTCTACGGTAGAGACCACCAGATATACAGTATATAAATCCAATTCTATGGATGCATACTATTACTGAACATATAAGTCTTCAAAACAGAACTGCAAGAAGAAAATAAACCAATCATACAATAGGAAACCTTTTTTTAAATGATTGCAACAAAGTCTCATTGTCTTTTCTTGGGCAACTAGAATTTCAAGTGAAACATTCAGAACATGACAGAATTGGCTTCACCACTTTCAATAAGTAACCATACATCCTGTATGAAGGGAAACCAACAGACATATGGGGTTTTCGGTCTAGACCTGATTATCAGCCTGGTGACAAGGATGTCTAGTTGAATAACAAATATGAAGATATGAAGAGCTGTTTATACAGTATGAAAGGGCCCTTTCCCCCCAAAGCCTTTACTCACAAGCCCTTTGTTATACATTTATTTTCCACTGACATGAAAGTGAATGACATTAATGTAATTTAGAAATGACAAAGACTGAGTAGCCTAGCAAGTAGTTCACATGATTAGAATATGTTCCATGAGAATGCAAAAAGAGTGAGGTTAAAATGAAATTGCAATTATCTGTTTGCAATTATCAGTAGAGCTCTTGGTCCAGCATACACAGTAGTTTTCAGTGGCATGTTTCAGGAATTGATTATTATGTTGAACTTGGAGCTTACTCTAAAAACTTTGTGTAAGCAAACACAAACGAGTAGTAAAGGGAAAAGTCACAAAATGCGGTGGACACCAAATGAGAAATGAAACAGTAGAGGCATGCAGAAATTAACCCCAGCCCTGAACAGATAAATGTCCTTACATTCAATGCATTCATCGGGATGAGAAGTGTCTATGACACTTCAAACTAGTCAAACTGACACTAAATTTACCAAAGTATAGGAAGCTGATATTTACAAAACTGCCGACACTGTGTCATCATAATTTGTACTATAAATATTTGAAAAGTAAAACTATTATTTTTGGCAACATTTTGTGCACAAGCATACAGGTTGAATTTGCACAGAGCTATGGACTGAGTGTAGAAGTTGATATTTGTTATTACAATTACATCAAATGAGAGCAGAAAATGAAATGCGGTGCATTCGGAAAATATTCAGAGCCCTTGACTTTTTCTACATTTTGTTACGTTACAGCCTTATTCTAAAATGAATACAATAATTGTTTTTCTCTCATCAATCTACACACAATACCCAGTAATGACAAAGTGAAAACAGATTTAAATTTTAGCTAATTTATTACAAACACAAAACTGAAATATCACATTTACATAAGTATTCAGACCCTTTACTCAGTACTTTATTGAAGCACCTTTGGCAGCAATTACAGCCTCGAGTCTTCTTGGGTATGACGCTACAAGCTTGGCACACCTGTATTTGGGGAGTTTCTCCCATTCTTCTCTGCAGATCCTCTCAAGGTCTGTCAGGTTCGTTGGGGAGCGTCGCTGCACAGCTATTTTCAGGTCTCTCCAGAGATGTTCGATCGGGTTCAAGTCCGGGCTCTGGATGGGACATTCAGAGACTTGTCCCGAAGCCACTCCTGCGTTGTCTTGGCTGTGTGCTTAGGGTCGTTGTCCTGTTGGAAGGTAAGACTTCGCCCCAGTCTGAGGTCCTGAGCGCTCTGGAGCAGGTTTTCATCAAGGATCCCTCTGTACTTTGCACCGTTCATCTTTCCCTCTATCCTGACTAGTCTCCCTGCCACTGAAAAACATCCCCACATCATGCTGCCACCACCATGCTTCACCGTAGGGATGGTGCCAGGTTTCCTCCAGACGTGACGCTTGGCATTCAGGCCAAAGAGATCAATCTTGGTTTCATCAGACCAGAGAATCTTGTTCATCATGGTCTGAGTCTTTAGGTGCCTTTTGGCAAACTCCAAGCAGGCTGTCATGTGCCTTTTACTGAGGAGTGGCTTCCGTCTGCCGACACTACCATAAAGGCCTGATTGGTGGAGTGCTGCAGAGATGGTTGTCCTTCTGGAAGGTTCTCCCATCTCCACAGAGGAACTCTGGAGCTCTGTCAGATTCTTCGGGTTCTTGGTCATCTCCCTGACCAAGGCCCTTCTCCCCCGATTGCTCAGTTTGGCCGGGCGGCCAGCACTAGGAAGAGTCTTGGTGGTTCCAAACTTCTTCCACTTAAGAATGATGGAGGCCACTGTGTTCTAGGGGACCTCCAATGCTGCAGAAATGTTTTGGTACCCTTCCCCAGATCTGTGCCTCGACACAATCCTGTCTCGGAGCTCCTCGGACAATTCCTTCGACCTCATGGCGTGGCTTTTGCTCTGACATGCACTGTCAACTGTAGGACCTTATATAGACAGATGTGTGCCTTTCCAAATCATATCCAATCAATTGAATTTACCATAGGTGGACTCCAATCAAGTTGTAGAAACATCTCAAGGATGATTGATGGAAACAGGATGCACCTGAGCTCAATTTCGAGTCTCATAGCGAAGGGTCTGAACACTTCTGTAAATGTATATTTCTGATTTTTATTTTAATACACACACACATATACATATATATACACAGTACCAGTCAAAAGTTTGGACACACCTACTCATTCAAGGGTTTTTCTTTATTTTTACTATTTTCTACATTGTAGAATAATAGTGAAGACATCAAAACTATGAAATAACAAAAATGGAATCATGTAGTACCCAAAAAAGTGTTAAACAAATCAAAATATATTTTATATTTGAGATTCTTCAAATAGCCTTGACAGCTTTGCACACTCTTGGCATTCTCTCAACCAGCTTCACCTAGAATGCTTTTCCAACAGTCTTGAAGGAGTTCCCATATATGCTTAGCACTTGTTGGCTGCTTTTCCTTCACTCTGCCGTCCGACTCATCCCAAACCATCTCAATTGGGTTGAGGTCGGGGGATTGTGGAGGTCAGGTCATCTGATGTAGCACTCCATCACTCTCCTTCTTGGTTAAAATAGCCCTGGAAGTGTGTTGGGCCATTGTCCTGTTGAAAAACAAATGATAGTCCCACTAAGCCCAAACCAGCTGGGATGGCGTATCGCTGCAGAATGCTGTGGTAGCCATGCTGGTTAAGTGTGCATTGAATTCTAAATAAATCACTGACAGTGTCACCAGCAAAGCACCCCCACAACATAACACCTCCTCCTCCATGCTTTACGGTGGGGACTACACATGCAGAGATCATCCGTTCACCCACACCGCGTCTCACAAAGACACGGCGGTTGGAACCAAAAATCTCAAATTTGGAATCCAGACTAAAGGACAAATTTCCACCGGTCTAATGTCCATTGCTCGTGTTTCTTGGCCCAAACAGGTCTCTTCTTATTATTGGTGTCCTTTAGTAGTGGTTTCTTTGCAGCAATTCGACCATGAAGGCCTGATTCACACAGTCCCCTCTGAACAGTTGATGCTGAGATGTGTCTGTTACTTGAACTCTGTGAAGCATTTATTTGGGCTGCAATTTCTGAGGCTGGTAACTCTAATGAATTTATCCTCTGCAGCAGGGGTAACTCTGGGTCTTCCATTCCTGTGGCGGTCCTCATGAGAGCCAGTTTGGTGCTTGATGGTTTTTGTGACTGCACTTGAAGAAACTTTCAAAGTTCTTGACATTTTCCAGATTGACTGACCTTCATGTCTTAAAGTAATGATGGACTGTTGTTTCTTTTTGCTTATTTGAGCTGTTCTTGCCATAATATGGACTTGGTCTTTTACCAAATAGAGCTATCTTCTGTATACCCCCCCTACCTTGTCACAACACAACTGATTGGCTCAAACGCACTAAGAAGGAAAGAAATTCCACAAATGAACTTTTAAGAAGGCACACCTGTTAATTGAAATGCATTCCAAGTGACTACCTCATGCTGGTTGAGAGAATGCCAAGAGTGTGCAAAGCTGTCATCAAGGCAAAGTGTGGCTATTTGAAGAATCTCAAATAACACTTTTTTGTTTACTACATGATTCCATATGTGTTATTTCATAGTTTTATGTCTTCACTATTATTCTACAATGTAAAAAATAGTAAAAATAAAGAAAAACCCTTGAATGAGTAGGTGTGTCCAAACTTTTGACTGGTAGTGTATATATCTGTTTTCACTTTGTCATTATGGGGTATTTTGTGTAGATTGATGAGGATTTCTTTATTTTAATCAATTTTAGAATAAAGCTGTAACGTAACAAAATGTGGAAAAAGTGAAGCGGTCTGAATACTTTCCGAATGCACTGTATGTCAATACAATATCCCAATCCAAATCACCGAATACAGAGACTATTTTGTGTCTGTGGCGTATGCTGCGCTGTAGGCAACAGTCAAGCAGAGTTTCATATTGAATCAGGTTCCTCTCTGTGGTTACTGGTTCCGAGAAGCAGGACCCAGTCGTGAGTAATAGTGAAGATGTAGGCCCCTATTTGGGATCGCCCTGACTGACTCACAGCTCTATACAGCTGTCCCATAGACACGGTTCCCACCTACAACACCCTATCTTTTATCAATGAGCCTCCTCCAGCACCATGTAATGCTCTCTCACTTTCGTCTTCTTCCTGCCTTGACTGGCCAGCTGCAATCTCTTGCTCGCTCTCTCTCTTGCTATGGATAGATTTCCATGACTTACGTTGGGTATGGTTATCATTTTAGGACAAGTGCTTTACAAAGTTGTAGAATAATCGTTCCATACACAGCTATCTTCACATCTAATCTGTTAGTCAATGAGATGAAAGATACAATGCAAAGTTCTTAAGAACAAAGAAAAAGCATTTATGACTGGAATATGGATTAGTCATATAGGGCAACACATTTCCAGAAAAGGAGAAATAGTATTTTTCTGAAAACGTAATGCATTTGTTTTGCATATGACTACTGAACAATGTGATTACATTTTTTTTACAGTAAGCAGTATGTATTAGAGGATAAGCCAATTGTTTTATTTGTATACTATATTGAATAAATGTATTCATGGCTGGACCACAAAACAGAGAGATGTCAGTCAGCTCAATGCGACATAGGTTTCATACAGGAAACGACTGCATTCCGAGTCATAAAGCCCACCATACAATATTAATCATAGTTAACCACACACTAAAATAAGACATGAATATCGTTGTGAAAGACTGTCAGTAAACAGCCTCTAAATTTCCACCACATTCACATTTTGGAAAAGGGCGTAGGAAATGTTGATGTCAATGTGTCGATAAAACTCTCACTATGATTGTTGGTGGCATGCCGGGTTGATGCTATCGACAGGCCACTTGTCACCACAGAAACCACCGGGCTTTCATCTCACAGCAGTGTCTTGGAAATTTGATGCATCTATGCACTAACTTTTCTTTTCTCATCTTCAATTACCAGAACTGTGTCTAGTGGAACTCCAGTTTCTGTTTGTGTAGATAGTGCAAATAGAGGGACATTTATATTATTTTATACTTTATGAGACACCAACCACTTACTATAACATAAAATAATCACTTTCCTCCTATTACTGATTTGAGATATTGCATGGTGACACTTCCCACTGGGCACAAACGGCAATTCAACATCTAATCCACGTTGGTTCAATGTAATTTCATTGAAATGACGTGGAAACAACGTTTATTCAACCAGTGTGTGCCCAGTGGGTTAGCAATATTATTTAATATGATGAGGACATTTTGAGTGTATGCAACAATGAACATGTGCAAAAGGTAAACATAGAAATAGACTTGAAAAACAACATTTTACGTAGCCTCTATACTTCAGATTCTATTAAATTTTTTATTTGTATAATGTAACTCATTCCCTTTTACATATAAGTATGTTATCATATTGTCCACACATGAAGTCAGACATATCAGAGGAGACATGTAAAGAATGTGACTTGGGGTTACATGTGGTTTTGTTCTTTTACAACTTACTGTACATAATGAAGAAGAAACACACAATTCTTCTGGGAAAATGCATCCCTTTATAGGAGCCTAATATTTGACATGCTCATTTGAATATTTGAAGAAATAGAGAACTGAAAGCAGGGGGAAATGAAACGCACAACACAAGAAATGAAGGATGTAAACATACTGGAAGTGAATGTGTTCTTGCAGACACACATCAAAATTGAACTCTCTCTTTCCAATGTGGCTTAAAGTTCGAAATTCATGCAGAAAAAGACACCAAAGTGTCTCAAGCTGCCTGGAGTCATTATGAGTGATAAACTGTCTTACCTGGTTCAGTGTCCCCTCCACACCTCTGCCCTCCTCCATGACTGGTCTCTGACTGGTGTCTCGCTCCCCTTCAGGATCAAATACTGCCACAGGGCACAGGGAAAAGACAGTCACAACTAGGCCAAAGCACACACCCTCCACTCCATATGGGACATTTGTTTACCATAAGCAAAGAATGGTGTATGTCCCATGCATCATCAGTCAGGCTAGGTGATCCAGAATAAGATGCAATAAAACCCTACCTATGTGAAAAGCTGATGCCTTGGTTCACCTATGATTGCATTTCCAGTCCTGTGCCAGCAGCAAGAACAAGTATACGTGTGTTCTATCACTGAATATTCTGTAAACTAACACACACTCCAGTAAGTAAAAAGAAAATGCAGTTTTAATATAAAGCCACATGGTTACAACACCACTTCCTGCTTATGAGTCTAACCGCAGTTATGTGGTACCCTGCCTGATATGAAAGCATTACAACATGTGAATGAAAATGCGAAATGTAATGTAAAAGGCAGTTTTATTTTATTTTCATTATTTCATTTGCATACTTTGGTAATCAAATTACCATACACCAAACCCAAGGCCATACAAATGACCCCCCCCCCCCCCCCACACACACACACACGTCATTTTCAGGCATAACATGTTAAGTGCCTGAGAATAGCCTTAGTACTGATTCAAATTTATAAGACTTAAAGGCTGAAGTTGAAAGCAAATGGGTCGATGTCCAGCCATGACAACTGAGAGTCAAATGTATTTGTAATTGAACACCCACATTCTAACCTCTTCCTCAAACAAAGAGAGTAGCAGTCTCTCCAATAGCCCACCAAACAGCATTGATATCACTTGTCTGCAAACCCAATATATATCTTTCTTTCGAGATCAGCCATTTCCTGAGCTGTGGCTTACAATTTGAATCATGCTTTCTATAGAACTTCGAGACCTTGGGACTATAAGATTCTATCTGCATTTTTGTCAAAATTGAGTTGACATAGCCTTGTTCTTTTCAATGTATAGTACTCTAAATACCCAAATTCATGTTATTTTCAAAATAATACAAGAAAAAAATTGCTGACACCATTCAAAACCAATGAGGGTTCAGAACTTTAAAGCCAATTATCTCAGAATAATCTTTTTGCAGATAGAAACGTATATTCCCAAGCTCTCGACTTCCCCATTTCATTTGTTCAAATATGTACATTGGTCAATGTATAAAGGACATTTTTGGAAGAAAAAGGGATGTAATTGTGGCAGAGTAAATTGTTATTGTGTACACAGTCAATTGAAGTACTTAGTACAGTGGGGGAAAAAAGTATTTAGTCAGCCACCAATTGTGCAAGTTCTCCCACTTAAAAAGATGAGAGAGGCCTGTAATTTTCATCATAGGTACACATCAACTATGACAGACAAAATGAGATTTTTTTTCTCCAGAAAATCACATTGTAGGATTTTTTATGAATTTATTTGCAAATTATGGTGGAAAATAAGTATTTGGTCAATAACAAAAGTTTCTCAATACTTTGTTATATACCCTTTGTTGGCAATGACACAGGTCAAACGTTTTCTGTAAGTCTTTACAAGGTTTTCACACACTGTTGCTGTTATTTTGGCCCATTCCTCCATGCAGATCTCCTCTAGAGCAGTGATGTTTTGGGGCTGTCGCTGGGCAACACGGACTTTCAACTCCCTCCTAAGATTTTCTATGGGGTTGAGATCTGGAGACTGGCTAGGCCACTCCAGGACCTTGAAATGCTTCTTACGAAGCCACTCCTTCGTTGCCCGGGCGGTGTGTTTGGGATCATTGTCATGCTGAAAGACCCAGCCACGTTTCATCTTCAATGCCCTTGCTGATGGAAGGTTTTCACTCAAAGTCTCACGATACATGGCCCCATTCATTCTTTCCTTTACACAGATCAGTCGTCCTGGTCCCTTTGCAGAAAAACAGCCCCAAAGCATGATGTTTCCACCCCCATGCTTCACAGTAGGTATGGTGTTCTTTGGATGCAACTCAGCATTCTTTGTCCTCCAAACACGACGAGTTGAGTTTTTACCAAAAAGTTCTATTTTGGTTTCATCTGACCATATGACATTCTCCCAATCCTCTTCTGGATCATCCAAATGCACTCTAGCAAACTTCAGACGGGCCTGGACATGTACTGGCTTAAGCAGGGGGACACGTCTGGCACTGCAGGATTTGAGTCCCTGGCGGCGTAGTGTGTTACTGATGGTAGGCTTTGTTACTTTGGTCCCAGCTCTCTGCAGGTCATTCACTGGAGTCCCAGATCGAGGGAGATTATCAGTGGTCTTGTATGTCTTCCATTTCCTAATAATTGCTCCCACAGTTGATTTCTTCAAACCAAGCTGCTTACCTATTGCAGATTCAGTCTTCCCAGCCTGGTGCAGGTCTACAATTTTGTTTCTGGTGTCCTTTGACAGCTCTTTGGTCTTGGCCATAGTGGAGTTTGGAGTGTGACTGTTTGAGGTTGTAGACAGGTGTCTTTTATACTGATAACAAGTTCAAACAGGTGCCATTAATACAGGTAACGAGTGGAGGACAGAGGAGCCTCTTAAAGAAGAAGTTACAGGTCTGTGAGAGCCAGAAATCTTGCTTGTTTGTAGGTGACCAAATACTTATTTTCCACCATAATTTGCAAATAAATTCATTAAAAATCCTACAATGTGATTTTCTGGATTTTCTTTACTCAATTTGTCTGTCATAGTTGACGTGTACCTATGATGAAAATTACAGGCCTCTCTCATCTTTTTAAGTGGGAGAACTTGCACAATTGGTGGCTGACTAAATACTTTTTTTCCCCACTGTATATTTATATATCATGCAAATTCATCTACAATTTATACTAACCTGCTTAAAGCTAGAATCCTTAATTGAAACAATAACAAAGTGGTCACTCCATCTGCGTTTTGGTAAAAAGCTGAGGGATGGGCCTGGAAAAATGTAGCCACTCTCAAATTCATAGGCAGAGCTATGGATGCAAGGACTAACCATCCATGATATCAACATCATAGTTTTATCCATGTCTTGAGGCTATACAGTGTTAGTTAGTATTTACATTGTTTACAAACATTGGAGTATAACAAACTTGAATTTTGGGTTCTGATTCTAATGTGGTACAACAGTTGAACTAAGCTTATGAGTAATTTAGAAGTTATATTCCTCAAGAATCAATGGCCCTAAAAATTGTCAAAGACTCCAGCCACCCTAGTCATAGACTGTGCTCTCTGCTACCGCACGGAAAGCGGTACCGGAGCGCCATGTCTAGGTCCAAAAGGCTTCTTAACAGCTTCTACCCCCAAGCCATAAGACTCCTGAACAGCTAATCATGGCTACCCAGACTATTTGCATTGTGTCGTCCCCCCCACCTCCCTCTTTAACGCTGCTGCTACTCTCTGTTTATTATTTACATTTACATTTACGTCATTTAGCAGACGCTCTTATCCAGAGCGACTTACAAATAATCTATGCATAGTCACTTTAACTCTACCCACATGTACATATTACCTCAATTACCTCAACTAACCTGTGCCCTCGCACATTGACTCTGTACCGGTACCCCCTGTATATAGCCTCCCTACTGTTATTTTATTTTACTGCTGCTCTTTAATTATTTTAATTTTTTACTTAACACTTATTTTTCTTAAAACTGCATTGTTGGTTAAGGGCTTGTAAGTAAGCATTTCACTGTAATGTCTACACCTGTTGTATTCGGCACATGTGGCAAATACAATTTGATTTGATATATATCATTAATTTATAAGCCCAAAAATGGATGTAGCAACTAAGGATTCCAGCTTTAAGTCTTGATAAATTGCAATTGACCAGTGTTCCAGTGTAATCAGCCCATCAGTTATTTCATGACTTACTTTCTCCAAGCCAGTAATTAGGAATGCTCCTTATATTTCTATATTGGCTTGAAATACGTATGTCAAGTGTTTCTGCTTAGTGACTAATTAAATGTTTTTTTTAAGTTAACGTTTATTTACAATACAAATTATAACATTGGCCCAGCGTCGTCCAGGGTAGGGGGGGGTATGGCCGGCAGGGATGTAGCTCAGTTGGTGGAGCATGGCGTTTGCAACGCCAGGGTTGTGGGTTCGATTCCCACGGGGGGGCAGTATGAAAAATATGCACTCACTAACTGTAAATCGCTCTGGATAAGAGCGTCTGCCAAATGACTAAAAATGTAAAAATGTAAATCATGGATTAATTACAATAGCCTACGCAATGTAACTGCCATTTCATATGTATAACGAAAACGTAAATGTGTGATCGACGTTACAAAAAACAATAGGCTGTTGTCTAACTGCAAACGTTTAAATAAATTATTAAGCAGTGCCACAATTTGCAGCCTACGTCATCATTATAACTAAGTGTGTGCTTTTGACAAAACATGTTGTTTCTTCTCCAGCTAAAATAATAAAAGCTGATGGATTAATAAACTACCAAACTGTTAAGAAAAACAACTTACCCATTTGCAAAATAATCCTTTGACTCGCGACTTGAAGATTGTTTACTTTGTTTCAGAACCACTTTACTGAAGACGCTTCTCTAATTTAGCACACCTCGAAATAAGACGTTTTCAGTGGATTATTATTGGTTGGTGATGTCTCCAGCAAGTGAGTCTGGGAGTTGGAGTTTTTGACTGTGGGAGTTGCAGCTCTCTGAACACCCAATAGTCGTCTCAAGGCACATTGAAGCAGTTTTAATAATTGTTTTACTCTCATGTAGCCTTTCTCAAATTGATTACCTGAGGTAATTTGAGTTCACTAGACTAGGCTACACAGATGTAAAAACAAAAACAAAAACAAATGATATATTTTATCATTATATAAGTGCACATGTTGAACTAATAGCAATAGAAACATCTTGTCTGGATAGTCATAAAAATGATATGATTATCTGACATTCTGAAATGTTCAACAAAACCACACTGAAATTTGCATTTCGTCCATGGGAATGATTTGGCCAATCATAATCTATATCTATACATAAACTTTGAATTTGGAAAATGAGGAGGTATTTAACAAAAACCTATCAAATCAAATGTAACTGTCAATATTGGTGCAGCATACTATTTTATCCAGCTTTGCTTTAGAAGTTTCAAAAGTCAGTGAAATGCAGAGGCCATATTCTTCCACTTGTTGCAGATAGAGTATGACATTTAGATATATGTTTAACCTTTAAATGTCAAAATAACAAAACTATCAGTTGGCTGGCCGGATCTCACAGGGAGTTTTTTTTTTTTTGACAAAACACCCGTTTCACTGCTGTTTGAAATAAGGATGGGTGAAATAGAATTACCTTGATTCAACCCCCTACATTGATTCATCCATTTGAGCAATTTCACAGAACTTACAGTTTTTGTCACATCCATTGGTTAAAAACATGTCATAACTAAATTACTGTTCTTCTTTGGTTCGCGCAATTGTGATATTGATATGAGTTGATTAAATATTTCATTTGACTCAGATTGTGATCACACCTTGAATTCACAATTTACTTGTATTAAGCTGATGAAAACATTCACTTTTAGCTTGATGTAAAAGTGTTTGTTAGATCAGGAATATATACTGAACAAAAATATAAACGCAACATGCAACAATTTCTACGATATTACTGAGTTACAGTTCATATAAGGAAATCAGTCAATTGAAATAAATTCATTAGGCCCTAGTCTATGGATTTCACATCACTGGGAATACATACAGTGCTATGAAAAAGTATTTGCCCCCTTTCTAATTTTGCATATTTGTGATACTGAATGTTATCAGATCTTCAACCAAAACCTAATATTAGATAAAGGGAACATAAGTGAACAAATAACACAACAATTACATATTTATTTCATTTATTTCATAAACAAAGTTATGCAACACCCAATTCCCCTGTGTGAAAAAGTAATTGCCCCCTTACACTCAATAACTGGTTGTGCCACCTTTAGCTGCAATGACTCCAATATGTAATTGTTGTGTTATTTGTTCACTTATGTTCCCTTTATCTAATATTAGGTTTTGGTTGAAGCTCTGATAACATTCAATATCACAAATATGCAAAAGTAGAGAAAATTAGAAAGGGGGCAAATACTTTTTCGTAGCACTGTATACGCATCTGTTGGTCCCAGATACCTTAAAAGAAAGGTAGGGGCGTGGATCAGAAAACCAGTCAGTATCTGGTGTGACCACCATTTGCCTCATGCAGTGCGACACATCTCCTTTACATAGAGTTGATCAGGCTGTTGATTGAGGCCTGTGGAATGTTGTCCCACTCCTCTTCAATGGCTGTACGAAGTTGCTAGATATTGGCAGGAACTGGAACACGCTGTCGTACACGTCAATCCAGAGTATCCCAAACATGCTCAATGGGTTACATGTCTGGTGAGTATGCAGGTCATGGAAGAACTGGGACATTTTCAGCTTCCAGGAATTGTGTACAGATCTTTGCGACATGGGGCCGTGCATCATCATGCGGAAACATGAGGTGATGGCGGCGGATGAATGACACGACAATGGGACTCAGGATCTCATCACGGTATCTCTGTGCAATCAAATTGCCATCGATAAAATGCAATTGTCTTCGTTGTCCATAGCTTATGCCTGCCCATACCATAACCCCACCGCCACCATGGGGCACACTGTTCACAACGTTGACATCAGCAAACCGCTAGTCCAAACCACACCATACACATGATCTCCGGTTGTGAGGCCGGTTGGACATACTGCCAAATTCTCTAAAACGACGTTGGAGGTGGCATATTGTAGAGAAATGAACATTAAATTATCTGGGGCAACAGCTCTGATGGACAATCGTGCAGTCAGCATGTCAAGTGCACGCTCCCTCAAAACTTGAGACACCTGTGGCATTGTGTTGTGTGACAAAACTGCACATTTTAGAGTGGCCTTTTATTGTCCCCAGCACAATGTGCACCTATGTAATGATAATGCTGTTTAATCAGCTTCTTGATATGCCACACCTGTCAGGTGAATGGATTATCTTGTCAAAGGAGAAATGCTCACTAACAGGGATGTAAACAAATTTGTGCACAAAATTTGAGAGAAATAAGCTAATTGTGCATATGGAAAATGTCTGGGATTTATTTCAGCTCATGAAACATGGGACCAACACTTTACATGTTGCGTTTATATTTGTGTACCTCCCAGGAGGGTTCTGTTCACATTGAGTCATAGTGAATCTTTACGGATTGCAAAATGATTCTACAAACCACCAGATTAGAGTGGGGAAAAAAGTATTTAGTCAGCCACCAAATGTGCAAGTTCTCCCACTTAAAAAGATGAGAGAGGCCTGTAATTTTCATCATAGGTACACGTCAACTATGACAGACAAAATGAGAAAAGAAAATCCAGAAAATCACATTGTAGGATTTTTAATGAATTTATTTGCAAATTATGGTGGAAAATAAGTATTTGGTCAATAACAAAAGTTTCTCAATACTTTGTTATATACCCTTTGTTGGCAATGACACAGGTCAAACGTTTTCTGTAAGTCTTCACAAGGTTTTCACACACTGTTGCTGGTATTTTGGCCCATTCCTCCATGCAGATCTCCTCTAGAGCAGTGATGTTTTGGGGCTGTCGCTGGGCAACACAGACTTTCAACTCCCTCCAAAGATTTTCTATGGGGTTGAGATCTGGAGACTGGCTAGGCCACTCCAGGACCTTGAAATGCTTCTTACGAAGCCACTCCTTCGTTGCCCGGGCGGTGTGTTTGGGATCATTGTCATGCTGAAAGACCCAGCCACGTTTCATCTTCAATGCCCTTGCTGATGGAAGGAGGTTTTCACTCAAAATCTCACGATACATGGCCCCATTCATTCTTTCCTTTACACGGATCAGTCGTCCTGGTCCCTTTGCAGAAAAACAGCCCCAAAGCATGATGTTTCCACCCCCATGCTTCACAGTAGGTATGGTGTTCTTTGGATGCAACTCAGCATTCTTTGTCCTCCAAACACGACGAGTTGAGTTTTTACCAAAAAGTTATATTTTGGTTTCATCTGACCATATGACATTCTCCCAATCCTCTTCTGGATCATCCAAATGCACTCTAGCAAACTTCAGACGGGCCTGGACATGTACTGGCTTAAGCAGGGGGACACGTCTGGCACTGCAGGATTTGAGTCCCTGGCGGCGTAGTGTGTTACTGATGGTAGGCTTTGTTACTTTGGTCCCAGCTCTCTGCAGGTCATTCACTAGGTCCCCCCGTGTGGTTCTGGGATTTTTGCTCACCGTGGGGTGAGATCTTTTTGCTCACCATGGGGTGAGATCTTGCGTGGAGCCCCAGATCGAGGGAGATTATCAGTGGTCTTGTATGTCTTCCATTTCCTAATAATTGCTCCCACAGTTGATTTCTTCAAACCAAGCTGCTTACCTATTGCAGATTCAGTCTTCCCAGCCTGGTGCAGGTCTACCATTTTGTTTCTGGTGTCCTTTGACAGCTCTTTGGTCTTGGCCATAGTGGAGTTTGGAGTGTGACTGTTTGAGGTTGTAGACAGGTGTCTTTTATACTGATAACAAGTTCAAACAGGTGCCATTAATACAGGTAACGAGTGGAGGACAGAGGAGCCTCTTAAAGAAGAAGTTACAGGTCTGTGAGAGCCAGAAATCTTGCTTGTTTGTAGGTGACCAAATACTTATTTTCCACCATAATTTGCAAATTAATTAATTAAAAATCGTACAATGTGATTTTCTGGATTTTTTTTCCTCAATTTGTCTGTCATAGTTGACGTGTACCTATGTTGAAAATTACAGGCCTCTCTCATCTTTTTAAGTGGGAGAACTTGCACAATTGGTGGCTGATAAAAAAAAAATTTCCCCACTGTAACTGTTTCTGTACAAAACATATACAGTGGGGAGAACAAGTATTTGATACACTGCCGACTTTGCAGGTTTTCCTACTTACAAAGCATGTAGAGGTCTGTAATTTTTTATCAAAGGTACACTTCAACTGTGAGAGAAGGAATCTAAAACAAAAATCCAGAAAATCACATTGTATGATTTTTAAGTAATTAATTAGCATTTTATTGCATGACATAAGTATTTGATACATCAGAAAAGCAGAACTTAATATTTGGTACAGAAACATTTGTTTGCAATTACAGAGATCATACGTTTCCTGTAGGTCTTGACCAGGTTTGCACACACTGCAGCAGGGATTTTGGCCCACTCCTCCATACAGACCTTCTCCAGATCCTTCAGGTTTCGGGGCTGTCGCTGGGTAATACGGACTTTCAGCTCCCTCCAAAGAATGTCTATTGGGTTCAGGTCTGGAGACTGGCTAGGCCACTCCAGGACCTTGAGATGCTTCTTACGGAGCCACTCCTTAGTTGCCCTGGCTGTGTGTTTCGGGTCGTTGTCATGCTGGAAGACCCAGCCACGACCCATCTTCAATGCTCTTACTGAGGGAAGGAGGTTGTTGGCCAAGATCTCGCGATACATGGCCCCATCCATCCTCCCCTCAATACAGTGCAGTCGTCCTGTCCCCTTTGCAGAAAAGCATCCCCAAAGAATGATGTTTCCACCTCAATGCTTCTCGGTTGGGATGGTGTTCTTGGGGTTGTACTCATCCTTTTTCTTCCTCCAAACATGGCGAGTGGAGTTTAGACCAAAAAGCTCAATTTTTGTCTCATCAGACCACATGACCTTCTCCCATTCCTCCTCTGGGTCATCCAGATGGTCATTGGCAAACTTCAGATGGGCCTGGACATGCGCTGGCTTGAGCAGGGGGACCTTGCATGCGCTGCAGGATTTTAATCCATGACGGCGTAGTGTGTTACTAATGGTTTTCTTTGAGAATGTGGTCCCAGCTCTCTTCAGGTCATTGACCAGGTCCTGCCGGGGCGGCAGGTAGCTTAGTGGTTAAGAGCGTTGTACCAGTAACCGAAAGGTCGCTGGTTCTAATACCCGAGCCGACTAGGTGAAAAATCTGTCGATGTGCCCTTGAGCAAGGCACTTAGCCCTAATTGCTCCTGTAAGTCGCTCTGGATAAGAGCGTCTGCTAAATGACCAATTTTTTTTTTTATTTTTTTTATTTAGTTCTGGGCTGATCCCTCACCTTCCTCATGATCATTGATGCCCCACGAGGTGAGATCTTGCATGGAGCCCCAGACCGAGGGTGATTGACCGTCATCTTGAACTTCTTCAATTTTCTAATAATTGCGCCAACAGTTGTTGCCTTCTCACCAAGCTGCTTGCCTATTGTCCTGTAGCCCATCCCAGCCTTGTGCAGGTCTACAATTGTATCCCTGATGTCCTTACACAGCTCTCTGGTCTTGGCCATTGTGGAGAGTTGGAGTCTGTTTTATTGAGTGTGTGGACAGGTGTCTTTTATACAGGTAACGAGTTCAAACAGGTGCAGTTAATACAGGTAATGAGTGGAGAACAGGAGGGCTTCTTAAAGAAAAACTAACAGGTCTGTGAGAGCTGGAATTCTTACTGGTTGGTAGGTGATCAAATACTTATGTCATGCAATAAAATGCAAATTAATTACTTAAAAATCATGCAATGTGATTTTCTGGATTTTTGTTTTAGATTCAGTCTCTCACAGTTGAAGTGTACCTATGATAAAAATTACAGACCTCTACATGCTTTGTAAGTAGGAAAACCTGCAAAATCGGCAGTGTATCAAATACTTGTTCTCCCCACTGTACATACATTATTGTATTTGTCAATCTATCCCTGAAATTGGAAACTTCTTGAATTGTGATTCAAATAGGTATATGTAAATATCAAAGATCTATAATTCATGGCACCTATTCAAGTTAATACCAAGTTAAACTGAGCATTAAGAATAGATGAGAAATGCGATGTAAAGAAAACCCCCTGCTATTCATCTCAGCCTTCCAGTGACAGAGGGGGTTGTGATGAGGTCAGCAGACTGTAAACTGAACCAGTTCAGAAGAAATGTTGTCATTCCAATCAGAACAGGTTTGACTCACAATCCTGGGAACGTATCATCTAATAGCCTTTCTAGTCACTTTGTATTCTACCATTAGAAAACCACTATAGGCCTACATCTTCTCTATTTCTTTGTCATTTTTTGTGACTTCAGGTTTCAACCATTTTCAGTAATACAATGAATTACTTTTTAAAGGGGACTATGGGAGGCTTTTAGGCATGTTTTTTTTAGTTGAGGGAAAATTAAGTGAGATCTTATCTTACAGGATGGGGGAAATGTTAAATCTTGCTGTTCTTGTGAAACTGAAACAAAGGTAATAACAATAAAAAACCCAGCCGTTACCTTTATGCTCTCATTCCAGGAAACTGCTTATAGAACATCACAGCTGAGGTTTATGTACAGTTCATTCGGAAAGTATTCAGACCCCTTCACTTTTTCCACATTTTGTTACGTTACAGCCTTGTTCTAAAATTGATTTTAAAAAGTGAACAGGTTTTTAGAAATGTTTGCAAATTTATTAAAAATCTAAATCAAAAATACCTTTTTACATAAGTATTCAGCCCCTTTGCTATGAGACTCGTTTCCATTGATCATCCTTGAGATGTTTCTACAACTTGGAGTCCACCTGTGGTAAATTCAATTGATTGGACATAATTTGGTAAGGCACACACCTGTCTATATAAAAGGTCCCACAGTTGACAGTGCATGTCAGAGCAAAAACCAAGCCATGAGGTCGAAGGAATTGTCCGTAGAGCTCCGAGACAGGATTGTGTCGAGGCACAGATCTGGGGAAGGGTACCATAAAATGTCTGCAGCATTGAAGGTCCCCAAGAACACAGTGGCCTCCATCATTCTTAAATGGAAGAAGTTTGGAACCACCAAGAATCTTCCTGGAGCTGGCTGCCCGGCCAAACTGAGCAATCAGGGGTGCAGGACCTTGGTCAGGGAGGTCACCAAGAACCTGATGGTCACTCTGATAGAGCTCCAGAGTTCCTCTGTGGAGATGGGAGAACCTTCCAGAAGAACAACCATGTCTGCAGCACTCCACCAATCAGGCCTTTATGGTAGAGCGGGCAGACGGAAGCCACTCCTTAGTAAAAGGCACATGACAGCCCGCTTGGAGTTTGCCAAAAGGCACCTAAAGGACTCTCAGACCATGAGAAACAAGATTCTCTGGTCTGATGAAACCAAGATTGAACTCTTTGGCCTGGATGCCAAGTGTCACATCTGGAGGAAACCTGGCACCATCCCTACGGTGAAGCATGGTGGTGGCAGCATCATGCTGTGGGGGGGATTCTTCAGCGGCATAAACTGGGAGACTAGTCAGGATCGAGGGAAAGATAAGCGGAGCAATGTACAGAGATCCTTGATGAAAACCTGCTCCACTCTATTGTGTGTAGATTGAGGGGGGGAATAAAAAAAAAATCAATTTTAGAATAAGGCTGTAATGTAACAAAATGTGGAAAAAGTGAAGGGGTCTGAATACTTTCCGAAGGCACTGTATGAGACTAAAAGTGATACTCCTAACTGTGCCAACAAACAGTTACTGCTCTTTGAAAGTCCCCAATGCTTTCACTCCAAACGGATTTCAGATTAATCAATATGCCACCTTACACAATTCTGTTTCTATTCTATCAGCTATCTCATACCGCCATCATATGTTTAAATCAATTTACTGCCGCCACAACCAGCATTTACAAAAGATGTCATAAGACAGGCACACATTTTACTTTAACTCATTTATTATGACGAACGTATTTGCATTACAATATACTCTTGAAAAACAAAAACATGGACAATGGATACATCACACACCTTGAAATGACGTGAACCCTTTGAATCATTCTTAAATTCCTTTATCATTAATTAAAGTGACAATGTCTCACAAACTTTTTCTTTCACAATGATTTCATTGTAAGTTAAAAAGCAGTGATGTTGCATAGCCTAATGGTTATGGAGTTTCCACACAGATTAAAATGAGAGAAAGCACTTTCCAGAGGACATCATCACGCCACTCTGTTACCCTCCTTTGGCACTGTCACATGATAACAGCATCTGATCAAGGCTCCCTTAAGCCTGCTAAATTAAGCCAATCACAGACCTGTATTTTGATGGAAGCTGGACCTGGCTGTGAAAGACTAGTTAAGCAGAGACGAGTTGTACCCAGGACACAGATTATGACAAGACGGCAACAACACATGAGAAAATATGACTTATGCTTTGTTTTGTGTAACTGGTCCCTGAAATAGTCAGTCATTAAAATTCTCCAGGGGCTGAAGAGAGCAGGGAGGGTATGGGGACGAGCTTTTTACATAACCATTATATATTTAAAAAACAACAAAAGATTTCACAAGGAGAATATGATTGTGTCATTATTTTCACCCCTATTTTCCCTTGAGTTCAGCCACCCAGAGAGCATAGCAAATATAGAACCTTTTGGTTTTCTAATATTAAATTCAACTGCAATACCAAACTATGGTTTGAAATTCACACAGGATTCCTTTCAAGCAAACTCATTTCTGACAGAGAAATACTCACATAAAATATTAGTCTTTGAGGAAAAGGCAAAAAAAGGCAAAAGATCATAGTTGGTACCATTATGTGAGCTATGAAATGTTATTATCCTGAACCCGACAGGAGCGAATGCTACAAATAACAAAAATAGTATACTTGGAACAAAACTGGATTCAATTTTTAAGGAATGTGATCTACAAGTGCTATCAATGTTCACAATGGAATCTTGAATTGAAACATCAACAATGCCTGACAATTTACTGCATCACATTAAAAGGTGAGAGATTCAGTTTGGGGTTGGCAAGTATATTGGTTTTAATCAAAACCTAAACTATGCCATTTAACGGCTCACAACATCAACAACATAATGGAATTGCTTTCTTCAACAAGGATAGATTTAAGCACCCCCTGGTCCCATGGTTATTGTTCATACATTGGTCCATAATGTGGAGATACAGTTCAGCAAACTATTCTAAAGTGTTCACTGTTGAGTTACTTCTAGCAGTTTTCCTACTGCCGAATTCTTCTGGGGGGGATCTTTTCTCTTCTGCCTCCAATATGCTGATCTAGTGAGTGGGCGAGGTATGGACTTAGAAAACCTCCACGTAATTGGCTGGGAACATTCCAAAATGCCCGTCTGGGCTGTAGCCCCGCCACCAGCCCTCGTCAATCATCTCGATGCCAGTGATGATGTCATCAGGATCAAAGGAGATCTCTGTGTCATCAGCTGTGGAATGAAAAGAGGAGTAATACCTCAGATCACCATGTCCATTCAAATATCCGTTGTGGTATTATTTACAGGGGTCTATTCCCTAACTGACTGCCAGTTTCCATCTAGCAGTTCTACCCACATTGATTCTCTGTATTGGGGTAAAACGTCACGGTTACACATTTTTCATAGAGAACCAGTTCAGTGGACTGAGTGTCAGCTGTAAATTGTCAGTAGGCTGTGACGATGCTTACCAGCCTGGTAGTCGTATAGAGCCCTGGCACAGACACCTCGGTCAGTCTTCTCCTCTGCAGGCACCTCACATGTGTTCTCTTCCACCTGAGGGAACAAGGGGTGCTGTACCTCAGAATGCCCTTCAAGTGTAAGTTCAACTGCAAATGTTACCAGTTACATCTTTTGACTTGAATGGTATTTGAATAATGAGAAGGTATTTTCAGATTACAAAATGTATGTTATCGCTGTTCATAATTAAATCCTCAGCCTTGCTGAATGATTTTCACTGCTCACACGTGCCATGACAAATATTCACCTGTGGGGGCTCTTCATAGAGATCGTTTTGGGCTGGCTCTGTGGCATGGTTGTGCTGAGTGGGAGGTGCTGGTGCCTTCACTGAAAGGGGAAAAAGTCAGACTTTTTTGAAAATACTACCTCTCTCTACCAAAAGGTGGCAGCAGCAGCAGGGATCCAGAGTACAAAGTAACTTAGAAATGTGTCCAGAGAAATGGTCATGATGATACACAGATGAGAGATGAATATGACTGTTCGGTGCTCAGACTGAGGTGCATGTGGAGTAGGGCCCACCTTCATCTTCCCACTGTTCCTCAGGGACTGCATCCTGAACAGGGGTTGCATCCTGCTCATCCAAGCACTCAGACTGGGATGGCTCATCCACAACGGGCTCATCCACACTGGGTTCTTATTATGACGTACACACACGTACACACACGATATACGAGCACAGATACACACAGAGGGCCACAAATGTACACACATACTAACGCATGCACTCATAAATATTCAGAAACTGAATATAATCAGCCAGGTCACCCATGATACAAGTCAGTTTTCAACATCCATCCATGGCTGAGGGCGTCGGGAGATGATGTGGAAGCTGGCCACTAGGGGCAACAGTGAGTGCTGTTACCTTCAAGTAGGTTTCGGTTTTGCTAGGGTGCATCTGCCTAAGCATCTGCCTCTGATTCCAATGATTGCATGTTCGAATCCAGCGATAGAAAGATGTTTTTGAGATTTTTGTTTTAAGCCTATTCCAAACCTTAACAATTCCAATGCCTAACCTTAAACACTAGTTGGAATATATACCAAACCATCTGTGAATTCTCATGGAAAAAGACAAGCACACTGGATGAGATTGATGATTACAGTGATCTAATGTGGGCATGATGATGTACAGTGATTCAATAATGAGGATGACGTTAAATTGCAGTAACAAGAGAGGAAATGGAGTAGCATCAAGTGAATCATTTGGACTGATTGATTGAAATGGAGTAGAATCAGGTAAATCATTTGGACTGATTGATTGAAATGGAGTAGCATCAGGTAAATAATTTGGACTGATTGATTGAAATGGACTAGCATCAGGTAAATCATTTGGACTGATTGATTGAAATGGAGTAGCATCAGGTAAATCATTTGGACTGATTGATTGAAATGGAGTAGCATCAGGTAAATCATTTGGACTGATTGATTGAAATGGAGTAGCATCAGGTAAATCATTTGGACTGATTGATTGAAATGGAGTAGCATCAGGTAGAGATTTGACCGAAACGCAAACATAGTAATTGTATGTAATGCAGTCACCCACGTGTGAAGTATTTCTCTGTGTGTTGGGAAAGGGTCAGTTTGTGTCAGTGGTATGAGTGAGCTCAGACCTGCAGCAGGGACAGGTGAGGCAGAGCCTGCAGGCAGTGGGGAGGCTTGGTGCAGGGGCGAGCGGGACGGCTCACATGGTTGCTTAGAGAGAAAAGGGCTTTGCAAACGCCCTGAGAAACACACAGCAGAGCAGACAGACATACATGTTGGCCAGAGAGGTTACCCAGCAGAGCAGACAGACATGCATGTTGGCCGGAGAGGTTACCCAGCAGAGCAGACAGACATACAGTGGGGAAAAAAAGTATTTAGTCAGCCACCAATTGTGCAAGTTCTCCCACTTAAAAAGATGAGAGAGGCCTGTAATTTTCATCATAGGTACACGTCAACTATGACAGACAAATTGAGAATTTTTTTTCCAGAAAATCACATTGTAGGATTTTTAATGAATTTATTTGCAAATTATGGTGGAAAATAAGTATTTGGTCACCTACAAACAAGCAAGATTTCTGGCTCTCACAGACCTGTAACTTCTTCTTTAAGAGGCTCCTCTGTCCTCCACTCGTTACCTGTATTAATGGCACCTGTTTGAACTTGTTATCAGTATAATAGATGGCGAAGTAGTGCAGTCCTGTTTCTGTCGTGTGTCTGTAAATAGCCTGTAAATACCCTGTTTTTTTGTATTTTTCGTACATATTTCCCTATCAGACTTTTCACCCTTCTACAAAATATACTTTCCTGCAACCCGCCTCACTCAATGTGGAACGGATTCTATTTTTGACTTACCTTTATCTAGAATATCCAGTTGAAACTAGCTAGCCAGCTAACTAGCTACTTGCTATTAGCCACAGCTAGCGGTGTTTCACCCAAAACATTGGATTTTTTTCCGCGGGATTAATTTTAATCATTGGACATTGATCACCGGATATTCGGCCAATCTGCACAGCGCGTTATCGACCCAGATCATATCAGTTTTTCCGCCGGAATCACTGAATCACTGGACCTTTAACTCCGGATTCATCGCTACCAGCTGGCTACAACAAAACGGACGCTGTGGTCTGGCTAATCATCCTGAGCTAGGCCCATCTCCCGGCTATCTACCTCTCTGTCAACCGGACGGGACCACCTAGTGTTGACACGAAGCCCCGCCGATCCTACACGACTGGTCTGCCGACGAAATCGTCTGATGTGGTTACGACGTTAACCACGAAGATTCCATCCATCGGCTAGCCCTGGCCCGCTAGCACACGCTATCCGTGGCCTCTTACTCACTAAACTGAACTAGCTACTGAACTAGCTACTTGCTATTAGCCACAGCTAGCGGTGTTTCACCCAAAACATTGGATTTTTTTTCCGCTGGATTAATTTTAATCATTGGACATTGATCACCGGATATTCGGCCAGTCTGCACAGCGCGTTATCGACCCAGATCATATCAGTTTTTCCGCCGGAATCACTGAATCACTGGACCTTTAACTCCGGATTCATCGCTACCAGCTGGCTACAACAAAACGGACGCTGTGGTCTGGCTAATCATCCTGAGCTAGGCCCATCTCCCGGCTATCTACCTCTCTGTCAACCGGACGGGACCACCTAGTGTTGACACGAAGCCCCGCCGATCCTACACGACTGGTCTGCCGACGAAATCGTCTGATGTGGTTACGACGTTAACCACGAAGATTCCATCCATCTGCTAGCCCTGGCCCGCTAGCACACGCTATCCGTGGCCTCTTACTCACAAGTGCTTCACCACCGGACCTTATGATAACTCAGCTATACAGCTGATATCTGCTGGACTGTTCCTTTTTACGGTACTACATCCTGTTTATGTTTAGCCTCAGCCCAAACATGGTTAGTTTATTGTTGTTTCGGTTATTTCTAATTGTACTATATCACTGTAGACCCCCCAGCCTAGCTAAACCTGCCTTAGATAGCTCCTTTGTCCCTCCCCCCATACACTCAGAGACCGACTCAATTGATGCCTCTAGAGATACTATCTCTTTCATTGTTACCCAACGCTTAGGTTTACCTCCACTTTACTCATATCCTTCCATATCCTTGTCTGTACATAATGCCCTGAATCTTTTCTATAACACCCGGAAATCTGCCCCCTTTATTCTATGTACCCAACGCACTAGAAGACCAGTTCTTAAAGCCTTTAGCCGTATCCTTATTCTAGTCCTCCTCTGTTCCTCTGGTGATGTAGAGGCTAACCCAGGCCCTGCAGCCCTCAGTATCACTCCTACTCCCCAGGCGCTATCATTTGATGACTTCTGTAATCGCAAATGTCTTGGTTTCTTGCACATAAATATCAGAAGTCTACTTCCTAAGTTTGAGTTATTCACTGCGTTAGCACACTCTGCCAACCCTGATGTTCTAGCAGTGTCTGAATCCTGGCTCAGGAAGGCCACCAAAAATTCTGAAATTTCCATCCCCAACTATAACATTTTCCGTCTAGATAGAACAGCCAAAGGGGGTGGAGTTGCAATCTACTGTAGAGATAGCCTGCAGAGCTCCATCATACTATCCAGGTCTGTGCCCAAACAGTTTGAGCTTCTACTTCTAAAAATCCACCTTTCCAGAAATAAGTCTCTCACTGTTGCCGCTTGCTACAGACCCCCCTCAGCCCCCAGCTGTGCCCTGGACACCATATGTGAATTGATTGCCCCCCATTTATCCTCAGAGTTTGTACTGCTTGGTGACCTAAATTGGGATATGCTTAATACCCCAGCCATCCTACAATCCAAGCTAGATGCCCTCAACCTCACGCAAATTATCAACGAACCTACCAGGTACAACCCTAAATCCGTAAACATGGGTACCCTCATAGATATCATCCTGACTAACATACCCTCTAAATACACCTCAGCTGTCTTCAACCAGGATCTCAGCGATCACTGCCTTATTGCCTGCGTCCGTAACGGGTCCGCGGTCAAACGACCACCCCTCATCACTGTCAAACGCTCCCTAAAACACTTTAGCGAGGAGGCCTTCCTAATTGACCTGGCCCAGGTATCCTGGATGGATATAGATCTCATTCCGTCAGTAGAGGATGCCTGGTTGTTCCTTAAAAGTAATTTCCTCTCAATCTTAAATAAACATGCCCCATTCAAAAAATACAGAACTAAGAACCGATATAGCCCCTGGTTCTCCTCAGACTTGACTGCCCTTGACCAGCACAAAAACATCCTGTGGCGTACAGCATTAGCATCAAATAGCCCCCGCGATATGCAACTTTTCAGGGAAGTTAGGAACCAATATACACAAGCAGTCAGGAAAGCAAAGGCTAACTTTTTCAAACAGAAATTTGCATCCTGTAGCACTAACTCCAAAAAGTTTTGGGACACTGTAAAGTCCATGGAGAATAAGAGCACTTCCTCCCAGCTGCCCACTGCACTGAGGCTAGGAAACACTATCACCACCGATAAATCTACAATAATCGAGAATTTCAACAAGCATTTTGCTACAGCTGGCTATGCTTTCCATCTGGCTACCACTAACCCGGCCACCAACTCTGCACCCTCTGCTGCAACTTGCCCATGCCCCCCCCGCTTCTCCTTCACACAAATTCAGACAGCTGATGTTTTGAAAGCGCTGCAAAATCTGGACCCCTACAAATCAGCTGGGCTAGACAATCTGGACCCTTTCTTTCTAAAACTAGCCGCCGAAATTGTCGCAACCCCTATTACTAGTCTGTTCAACCTCTCTTTCATAACGTCTGAGATCCCCAGAGATTGGAAAGCTGCCGCGGTCATCCCCCTCTTCAAAGGGGGTGACACTCTAGATCCAAACTGCTACAGACCTATATCCATCCTGCCCTGCCTTTCGAAAGTATTCGAAAGCCAAGTTAACAAACAGATCATCGACCATTTCGAATACCACCGTACCTTCTCCGCTATGCAATCCGGTTTCCGAGCTGGTCACGGGTGCACTTCAGCCACGCTCAAGGTCCTAAACGATATGATAACCGCGATTGATAATAGACAGTACTGTGCAGCCGTCTTCATCGACCTGGCCAAGGCTTTCGACTCTGTCAACCACCGCATTCTTATTGGCAGACTAAATAGCCTTGGTTTCTCAAATGACTGCCTCGCCTGGTTCACCAACTACTTCTCAGATAGAGTTCAGTGTGTCAAATCGGAGGGCCTGTTGTCTGGACCTATGGCAGTCTCTATGGGGGTGCCACAGGGTTCAATTCTTGGGCCGACACTTTTCTCCGTGTATATCAATGATGTCGCTCTTGCTGCTGGTGACTCTCAGATCCACCTCTACGCAGACGACACCATTTTGTATACATCTGGCCCTTCATTGGACACTGTGTTAACAAACCTCCAAACGAGCTTCAATGCCATACAACAATCCTTCAGTAGCCTTCAACTGCTCTTAAACACTAGTAAAACTAAATGCATGCTTTTCAATCGAACGCTGCTAGCACCCGCCCACCCGACTAGAATCACCACTCTCGACGGGTCTGACCTAGAGTATGTGGACAACTACAAATATCTAGGTGTCTGGTTAGACTGTAAACTCAACTTCCAGACTCACATAAAGAATCTCCAATCCAAAGTTAAATCTAGAATCGGCTTCCTATTTCGCAACAAAGCCTCCTTCACTCATGCTGCCAAACATGCCCTCGTAAAACTGACTATCCTACCGATCCTTGACTTCGGCGATGTCATTTACAAAATAGCCTCCAACACTCTACTCAGCAAATTGGATGTAGTCTATCACAGTGCCATCCGTTTTGTCTCCAAAGCCCCATACACTACCCACCACTGTGACCTGTACGCTCTTGTTGGCTGGTCCTCACTACATGTTCGTCGTCAAACCCACTGGCTCCAGGCCATCTATAAATCACTGCTAGGCAAATCCCCGCCTTATCTTAGCTCATTGGTCACCATAGCAGCACCCACCCGTAGTCTGCGCTCCAGCAGGTATATCTCTCTGGTCATTCCCAAAGCCAACACCTCCTTTGGCCGCCATTCCTTCCAGTTCTCTGCTGCCAATGACTGGAACGAATTGCAAAAATCTCTGAAGCTGGAGACACTTATCTCCCTCACTAACTTTAAGCATCAGTTGTCAGAGCAGCTTACTGATCACTGCACCTGTACACAGCCCATCTGAAATTAGCCCACCCAACTACCTCATCCCTATATTGTTATTTATTTTGCTCTTTTGCACCCCAGTATCTCTATTTGCACATAATCTCTTGCACATCTAGCATTCCAGTGTTAATACTATTGTAATTATTCTGCACTATAGCCTATTTATTGCCTTACCTCCATAACTTGCTACATTTGCACACACTGTATATATATTTTCTGTTGTATTTCTGACTTTTTTTATTTTTTTACCCCATATGTAACTCTGTGTTGTTTTTATTGCACTACTTTGCTTTATCTTGGCCAGGTCGCAGTTGTAAATGAGAACCTGTTCTCAACTGGCTTACCTGGTTAAATAAAGGTGGAAAAAAAAAAAAAAAAAAAAAAAAAGACACCTGTCCACAACTTCAAACAGTCACACTCCAAACTCCACTATGGCCAAGACCAAAGAGCTGTCAAAAGACACCAGAAACAAAATTGTAGACCTGCACCAGGCTGGGAAGACTGAATCTGCAATAGGTACGCAGCTTGGTTTGAAGAAATCAACTGTGGGAGCAATTATTAGGAAATGGAAGACATACAAGACCACTGATAATCTCCCTCGATCTGGGGCTCCACGCAAGATCTCACCCCGTGGGGTCAAAATGATCACAAGAACAGTGAGCAAAAATCCCAGAACCACACGGGGGGACCTAGTGAATGACCTGCAGAGAGCTGGGACCAAAGTAACAAAGCCTACCATCAGTAACACACTACGCCGCCAGGGACTCAAATCCTGCAGTGACAGACGTGTCCCCCTGCTTAAGCCAGTACATGTCCAGGCCCATCTGAAGTTTGCTAGAGTGCATTTGGATGATCCAGAAGAGGATTGGGAGAATGTCATATGGTCAGATGAAACCAAAATATAACTTTTTGGTAAAAACTCAACTCGTCGTGTTTGGAGGACAAAGAATGCTGAGTTGCATCCAAAGAACACCATACCTACTGTGAAGCATGGGGGTGGAAACATCATGCTTTGGGGCTGTTTTTCTGCAAAGGGACCAGGACGACTGATCCGTGTAAAGGAAAGAATGAATGGGGCCATGTATCGTGAGATTTTGAGTGAAAACCTCCTTCCATCAGCAAGGGCATTGAAGATGAAACGTGGCTGGGTCTTTCAGCATGACAATGATCCCAAACACACCGCCCGGGCAACGAAGGAGTGGTTTCGTAAGAAGCCTTTCAAGGTCCTGGAGTGGCCTAGCCAGTCTCCAGATCTCAACCCCATAGAAAATCTTTGGAGGGAGTTGAAAGTCTGTTGCCCAGCGACAGCCCCAATACATCACTGCTCTAGAGGAGATCTGCATGGAGGAATGGGCCAAAATACCAGCAACAGTGTGTGAAAATCTTGTGAAGACTTACAGAAAACGTTTGACCTGTGTCATTGCCAACAAAGGGTATATAACAAAGTATTGACAAACTTTTGTTATTGAACAAATACTTATTTTCCACCATAATTTGCAAATAAATTCATAAAAAATTCTACAATGTGATTTTCTGGATTGTTTTTTGTCATTTTGTCTGTCATAGTTGACGTGTACCTATGGTGAAAATTACAGGCCTCTCTCATCTTTTTAAGTGGGAGAACTTGCACAATTGGTGGCTGACTAAATACTTTTTTCCCCCACTATACATGTTGGCCGGAGAGGTTACCCAGCAGAGCAGACAACACAAAGCAGATGTGGTCTAGACACAAGATGTGATATGAGACAGTCCATGTCTGACAATGAGTTAAAGCTGATAATGCAATAAGAATCTCCTACTGCATGTTTCAACATGGCCCAGACAATCCACTGATCTCACCCACACCTGACAGACAGCTAGCAAGCCCAGTTATGAAACACCCATGGCAGAAACATTTTACAGAATAATCTAAAGTCCTCATTAGGAACTACACTTGGCATATTATTAACAAACAATTGAATTGGTGGCCTACCTGGCTGGGGGCTGGCAGGGGCGTGGGCAGCAGCAGCAGGGGTGTCGATGTCTGCAGTGCTGGGGGCCATGCCCTTCTCTCTCTGCTTGAACATCTCTCTGGGGTTCATAGAGCGCTGGGAGATCAGAGAGGCTGCCTCCTGAAACACACAGTGTGAGTCAGACATGCACACTGGCCACTGTATAGCTGTAGAACTCTTAATAGTTCAACACCCCAGTGAAATACACTGCTGATAAGCAAAGGGCACAGTCTCCAAAATAATCTACAGCAGGGGTCAGCAAAACCTGGCCCGCAAGGGATTTTCTTTGGCCTCCCAAAGCTTAGAAGAAGGCGCTTCAGCAAACAAAGGAGAGGGGTGCTCAACAACGACGAAAATCATGAGATGTTATCACCAAGAAAAACTTCCAAAAGGACTAATCGACGTAGAAATTAATCCATTGTACAGGACGAAAACAGGTGACTGACGTTTCGACGTCAAGCTGACGTCTTCCTCAGAGTGACCTGACCATTGCACTTAGCTCCTATTTATAGCCTAGTGGCCCATTGAGACAAAACAATGTAAGAAAATAATAATGCTAATAGGTTTCAAGGTAAATGGCAAATTGTAGCACAAAATAATACTAATAATAAGAGAAATAGTATGTCTCGTTAATCAATAGGCCATGTCAAAATATACATAGGGGATGTAGCTCAGTTGGTAGAGCATGGCGTTTGCAACGCCAGGGTTGTGGGTTTGATTCCCACGGGGGGCCAGTATGGAAAATACAAAAAATTATGTATGCACTCACTAACTGTAAGTCGCTCTGGATAAGAGCGTCTGCTAAATGACTAAAATGTAAATAATTTGATATTTGGTTGTCTGTGAATCCGGAGACACAGAGACCCAAAACAATCAAGGCAACAACATTATAGAAACGAGGACAGTGAAAAATCATTGTTTAGCCCAGGGGTGTCAAACTCAGTCCATGGAGGGCCGGCCGGCCTATTGTCAGCCTTATGTTCTGCAATGCAGAGTTTTAATGCTCGTATAATTTTACCAATATATACATTTGAGCATGTATATAACATTTGTGGTGCTACAATTAATGACGCTTTGGATTTTATATTATTTCCCTGTTCTCCAGTGGTAAAAAAAGTTTAGTGTTGGTCGGCCAATAATACAACGTTAACCACCCGAGAACAGCTAAAGAATACAAAATCCAAAGCATCAATACTTTCTTACATTGTTTTGTCTCAATGGGCCACTAGTCTATAAATAGGAGCTAAGTGCAATGGTCAGTTCACTCTGAGGAAGACGTCAGCTTGACGTCGAAACGTCAGTCACATGTTCACATCATGTACAATGGATTAAAGTGAGCTAAAATAAATCAATTCCTGCTTTTTTTTGTTGAGTGCTCCAACTCCTTTCTACCTTGAATTAGTCCTTTTGGAAGTTTTTCTTGGTAAGAACTTCAGCCAAAAATGACTTTCATTTATTGTTATTTTCAAATACAATCTTGTTGGTCTTAGTTGTGGTCAATTTGCAGTGTACAAATTCTTATACAAATTATTTTCCGGACCCCCGACCACTCGCTCCAACAAAAATCAGCCCGCGGCTGAATCTAGTTGCTTACCCCTGATCTACAGTATGAATAAATGTGTACAATTTCTTAATTATGTCTAAAGAAAATGACAGTAAGTGAAGCTGTAGAATTTAAATTCAAGCAAAGAACAGATTTGATTGAGTCACTGAAAAGGGAAGCGGAACAGAGTTCTGAGTCACAGGGTATAGGGAGTATTTGGACAATCACTTAAAAGCTACATGGGGCCACATTTAACTCACATTGGCTTTCTCCACAGATTCACCACGCTTCATCCCTTTCTTCTGAGTTGCCTGGAAGTCCTTCTCTTGCTCCTCCTGATGATGATGCACCACACATAATTGAATCCTACCTCCGAGGCTACGCCTAATGGTTCTGTATAGTTTGTTCTTGTGCTATTCTTATCATGTCCTAAATTTGTGCTTTCACATTTAAAAACATAACTTAGGTGGGGTGCATGTTGCACAGACTGATCTACTGCCTCCCAAATGAGGATGAACTACCAGTTAAACATAGCAGAATTGATTTTAATTAATTCTCCTCAGACTGCAGGCCAGTCCTGCTGTGAGCCAGCAGAGAACTCACCCATTGTTGTTTCTCATCTTCTCTGCTCTCAGCTTCCTGCTGCTGCTGGTACTTCCTGTTAAACAAATGGTTGTTAAAAGGGGGAAGTAGACTTAATGCAAACCTGGCTGTCAATAAGGTCAGCTAGATAACCACCTCCAGCTAAGTGAACTAACCACAGTTTTACTCACTTCTGCTGGTCGATCATAGAGGCCCTTTCCTTGTCTCTCTTCTCTCTGAGAGTTGCCTCTTTGGCCTCTCGATCCTTCCTGTCTTTCTCCAGCTTCTGGCGCTCCTCGTCTGCCTTGCCGCGCTCCTCCTGTCGCCGCTTCTCCTCATCTTTCTGAGACAGACACACGGGCCATGAGCACAAGGTTAGGGTAGTTTAAAATGTGTCATAACGCCGCATGACACCAGAACATGCTGAGCTATGCTCAAGCAAATCTAACCAGTATGGAGAGGATCAGTGAGTACCTGTAGTGGGAGAAAGGTGTTGGAGCTGGCTTACCTCTGCCTGCGCCCAGAAGTTGTCTTTATTGGTGCGTTTGATTTCAGACATAGCGTTGGTCTTCTGATACACTGAGCCCTGTCATAACAAAATGTGTTAGCCAACAACAAAAAATCTCCTATGCGCCAAACAAGTTCTCACTCCTGGACACCAACCCCTACCCAGATCCAGTACTGACACAGCATGTTGGTTTATTATGGTGAGTTAACAGGCTTTAAACAGCCTTGTCTGGCCTGGCTTCAGCCCTGGCCAGCAATCATGAGCCTCAACTAAGCCACTGGATTCTACTGCAGATGAGTCATTGTAAACAACCAGCTGCACCATCACAACATCCAACAAATTGGAAACTAACTCACACTGAAAAACTCATCCGCAGCCTTGTGCTATAAATCTAACGAAAATGTCCACAGGCAGACAAGTTATTACCGAAACAAATTAGCTATATGAGAGCATTTTATCCGACCACAACACAACTTGCCAACATAATGTACAGATGCTGATAATACGATGAAACAAACTCATAATGCACAACTAAAATGTTTTAATCTCTAAAAAGGATAAGATGCTGTATTTGGTACATACCACAGGTCCCTGGGGACCAGCGTCTCGGAACTTGTTGGACTCTTTATGGAAGCTATAGTTGGCCCCTGAGGCATTGCCCACCTTTTGCATAATAGCCTCTGGTTCTACATCCTCCTCTGCACGGGCATTTATTGTGACATGGGCGCCCTGGAATTACAGCAGACAATTAAGCTACAAATAACACGCATCACACATTCCAGATAAGGCCATGAAAGGGCTGTCCATAGGAGGAATATTTGATATCTGACTGAGCCACCACCCATTGGATTTTTTGACATGCAGTTAGCAGGGTGACTTTCATGATAACGACTGATAACCGAGTCTACTTAAAGAGCTGATTCAGAAACCACAACCACTTCACCTGAAGCAGCATCCAACTGCTGCTTAACTCAAACTAGGGCTGTCAAACGATTAAAATAATTAATTGAGTTAATGGCATTAATTGCGATTAAATCCAAATGTTTGAATTTGCTTAAATGTGGCCCTTTTTCCATTTAATAAACAGTGCATTAAGTTACAGGCATACTATGCTTTGATTGTAAGGGACAGAAACACAAAATTATCTACATCAGAATGTTTTAATAACATTTCCACCATAAACAAAATTCACTGTAACATAAAGCTACTAATGCTCCCAATGTTTCAGTAGGCCTACTCCCTCTCATTTACATTTTAGTCATTTAGCAGACGCTCTTATCCAGAGAGACTTACAGTTAGTGAGTGCATACATTTTTCATATTGGCTCCCCGTGGGAAACAAACCCACAACCCTGGCGTTGCAAGCGCCATGCTCTACCAACTGTTCTTGAAGTTTAACATTTGCACACAGCACACAGTCTGTCTCTTTCTCTACAACATACTGTTAACACTTTAGGGCATTCTAAATGACTACAGCAAAAGAAATACTGGCTATATGGATACAAAGAACAAATAGATTTTAAATGTGTCCAACAATGTTATGAAAACACTAACCATCTGTACTGTCACACTCTCCCTCCCTCCCACACCCTCTCTCTCACACTGGGCAAGTTCGTTTTGCATGGCCCGGTGCCATGGGTGGGCGGTGTTTGCACATTTTAGGCCATTCCATTGGTCCTTAAGTTACATTTCCACACACCAGGGGCACCGGGCCATGCAAAACGAACTCGCCCGCTTACTCCCGCTCTCACACACACACAATCACACACACCCCACTCTTGCATATGCAGCCTACCTTTGAAGCATATTTTTGAGTAACCTATTCCTTTTCAGTTCTTCCTGTGCCATCCAAATTTGGGCGTGGCCTAGTCAGTGGTCAAGTTATCAGGTTGCTAGCTAAACAATGTCGTTTGTCATCAAACTAAAAAATAGTTTAAAATGTCCCGCGACATGAGCACCAATCCGTGGCAGAAAGAAAAAAAACATAGCTCTGATATTGGGCATAATTTTCACATGATTTTGGCTAGAGGCACACAGTCTTCAGCGCTGTAAAGGCGCAAGCATTGACTGTAGTTGTGTTCCGTGTTGTGTTCTGCGCTTAAAAGGGTCTGTGCGGAAAAAACGTGCACTTAAAAGCTTCCGTGCGGTGAAGAAATGGAGACGCGATTAACAGCGGCAAAAAATTAGCGCCAATAAACATGTAATGCGTTACTATGTTAATAACGCGTTAACTTTGACAGCCCTATCTTAAACACCAAAACGCTATTTCTGGCACTTACAGGGGTGTCTACTCCTTTCCTGCCATTGCTATACATTTAATATCCTGTTGAGGCCAGTGTTGCAAGTGTACACACAAATAGTTGCATCTAATGGCTTTTCTTCATTAACTAACAAGTTGTCTGTGTGGAGAAAATGTCTAAACCATCCCAAATGAAATTACCTTGAGAAAATTTGCCATGGAGCTGACATGATTGGCACATAGTCCTTTCCTGGCATCTTTCACACCTTCTCCAGTCTGAAACACAAATACTCATGAGCATCATTCAACTTAAATTACAAAATACAGAGGAGTGCCACCTTTAGAAGAAAAGGAAGTGTAGTGCAGCACTCACCCAGTTGATGAGGACGTATTTGCACAGGCCAGAGTTTGGGTCCTGGACACGACAGAAAGCGTACATAATTTTCCCACTGCTAAGTTCCTCCACCAGTTCCTCCAGTCCACCATCTGAAACAGTATCGTAATGTTGTCACATTGTAGAATGTATGTTCTATGCAAAGTCTGTCATGTACATTACTGTGTAATGCTGAAATGTTGTACACAATAGACTACATGGCAAACAATACTCCCTTATGCCTTGATCACACCGACAGCGTCATTGCATTTTGGTACACCAGAAGTACATTCATTTTCAATGGAATGCTGCGTTTGCCTTGCATTACAGAGGCAGTTACAGTGCCTTCGGAAAGTATTCAGACCCCTTTACTTTTTAAACATTTTGTTACATTACAGCCTTATTCTAAAATGTTTTAAATAAATAAAAATCCTCGGCATTCTACACACAATGCCCCATAATGACAAAGCGAAAACAGGTTTTAAAATGTTTTGCAAATGTTTTAAAACTAAAACAGAAATACCTTATTTACATAAGTATTCAGACCCTTTGCTATGAGACTTGAAATTGAGCTCAGGTGCATTCTGTTTCCATTGATCATCCTTGAGATGTTTCTACAACTTGATTGGAGGCCACCTGTGGTCAATTCAATTGACTGGTCATGATTTGGAAAGGCACACACCTGTCTATATAAAAGGTCCCACAGTTGACAGTGCAGGTCAGAGCAAAAACCAAGCCATGAGTATGAAAATGTATGCACTCACTAACTGTAAGTCGCTCTGGATAAGAGTGTCTGCTAAATGACTAAAATGTAAATGGAGGTCGAAGGAATTGTCTGTAGAGCTCTGAGACAGGATTGTGTCGAGGTACAGATCTGGGGAAGGTTACCAAAAAATTACTGCAGCATTGAAGGTCCCCAAGAACACAGTGGCCTCCATCATTCTTCAATGGAAGAAGTTTGTAACCACCAAGACTCTTCCTAGAGCTGGCCACCTGTCCAAACTGAGCAATCGGGGGAGAAGGGCCTTGGTCAGGGAGGTGACCAAGAACCCGATGGTCACTCTGACAGAGCTCTAGAGTTCCTCTGTGGATATGGGAGAACCTTCCAGAAGGACAACCATCTCTCCAGCACTCCACCAATCAGGCATTTATGGTAGAGTGGCCAGACGGAAGCCACTCCTCAGTAAAGAAGGCACATGACAGCCCGCAAGCATTGCGTTGCAGTTGCAGTGCGTTCTGTGTGGTGCATACGTTGGATTTATCAAACGTATGCGTCAAACTGTATGCGTAGACAGCTTGACAGAAATGGTACCAGAAGGTGAATGTTCAACTTTTGTTGCACACAAATCTATTTTGCGCAATAACGCCATCGGTGTGATCAAGGCGTTAGGCACGTTCAACATGTTCAGTTTTTGACAGTGTATGTGTTGTAAGATTCTTCCTGCATTAGACGCTGTTTGCTACCTATCTTTTTTCATATGAAAATAGTTCTTATCTTCTACAAAACACTTGTCTAGGAGACTTATTGAAACAATAAAAGACACAACTACTGCAAACTATTTACTACCTTTGCTTTCATCTTTTAAATTGCCTTACTGTGCTTTGAGAGCAATTCAGTGGCACACCATAAGTTAGGGTGATGATGATCTCAGACAACATTACAGACTCGATTCCAAACGGAATACATTTAAATGTTGGAGCCTTTCTAAGATCCTGTGTACCACACTCACCTCCCTTCTCTGCCAATCTGATATCATTAGTGTTCCCCTCATAGGTGAACAATGCCCTGCAGAGAAGAATGCCAGGTTACAGGGTCACACTACCATTGCAAATAGTAGATTGGAAGCATAATAAGCAGTTTCAACAACATACATAATTGTTCACATCCATGTAACACTTAGCCACTGCATAAAAAGGTATTGCAGAATAGCATCCTGAAGCAACCTTGTTAGGTGATGTGCCCTGATCAAACAAAAACATGACACTTGGTTGAACTGCATAACTTTGGAGCAACCCATTTACGTGAGAAACTGAGATCCTGTAATAGTGTACTATGTAATTATATGGTTTAAAAACAAACACTTTTGAGAGTCTGGTCCACATTCAGCAACAGGAAGTGTGCTAAGACTGAAACCCTCTGGGTTTGATAAACCTCTTGAGGTAAACCAGGTTAATTCATTAATTCAGGTCATCTTGATCTTTAAACACTTCCACCAACAGGTTTCATTTGAACCTTAAGTGACACGTGAATTAATTTGTTTCTCCAAATACTTTTCTTTAGCTAAAATTAGCTGACTAAGTAACGTTAACGTTAGGTGCATGCAATATTTAGGCATTGCAATGACTGAAGAAATCCACAAAATAAAAAACGCAAACAGCTAACGTAGCTAGTAGCTACCAAACTACTAACGTCATCTAGCATCATCATTAGCTAAATAGCAAGCTAACAAGCTAAGGAAATTGGCAGACAACATGACAGGGTCATCCGATTTTTATATCGGCTACTGTACGAACATGGCAATACTAATTATACTGTTTCATTGATACAACCTTCGTTTTCATTGCACAACAAGCAAGCCAGTGAGCTAAATAACTTATACGAAAGGCAAGGGAAATTAAATGTTAACTAGGGAGCTAACGTAGCTAGCTAACTAAAAATAGCGGATGCAACATTTTATGGCGATGCAATTAAGTTAGCTAGCTAGCTAACGTTAGCGAGCTATCCTGCAGTGCTACCGTCCTTACCAGTTGGTGTTGGATTTCTCATCTACCACCTCTTTGTAGGCATTTGTCAGGGCAATGCCGTTTTTGCTTAGGTTCACTGCCATCGTTCAGTCGCTGAAACAGTTGTGTATAGCCGTGCTACGCCCGTCCTACTCGCGGAGGAGAGGCGGTAAAACCGAATCGAATTGACTTCTGATTGAAGTCTCAGCACACAGGAAGCTCGCCTGCCAGCAGCACAAACGATGACGTCAATCGTATGGTAATATAGAAGCCTTCAAAATAAAAGCCCGCATTTAAACATTGCAATGTGGATAACTCATTCAAAGATATTTATTTTTAATCAATGGCCACTTCTATTGTGAGAACAAGAAAATGCAATAAGTAATTTATGAAAACAAATAAAAAATATAATTTAAAAAAGAATAATTTTAACACCAATAATGAAAGAATTCTATGTTGACACTGATATGTTGAGAATATTGGGCTGTAGAGAGAAAACGATTCTACCTGTCTCAGCTAAAGTGGGGTCGGAAATACACAGTAGGGTCTCTACTAACAAAATATGTGTGGTTTTGGAGGGGGACTGTGTCGTACATACTGTGAAAGAAAAATTAACATGTAACATGTTTACCTGCTTTGTTTAATATTCATAATTAACAATTATATACTGTTCTACTAATGCTGTGTTTTTGTAAAGGAATGGTTTCTACTCCAGCTCCCTGCAGCTAGTCTAAGCGTGTGGTCAAGGACATGGGTTTTACTCGAGATAGGGGTATCTGGAGCTGACAATTGATTTATGATTGGCTAGGTGACAAAACCAACAGCCACATTCCATTCTATGATTAGTGGTGTGTGAAAGGGAGATGTCTCTGGTCTGACTGAGCCTGCATTTTCATAGACTGAATTGGTGTCTTTAAGGTACCAGGGACGAGATCTGTTATGAATAGTTGATAAGAACCTTGTCTTGGAGGCCTAACCCTGGTTTCCATACAATGAGAACAGTCTTCATAGCAGATACTGTCTGCTGTGAATTATTCATTTATTTCATACAAATCCTAACCTTTTGACTCATTCCACACATCTGCTGTTTGTCATGTAGACTGAGAGGGTGTCTCTTTGCTATAAAATATATTTGTATTGTCTGTATGTCAGAGCTCTCCGCCCAACACTCAAGAGTGTTGGGTCGACCAGCCTCACTTACTACCTTATTAATATGTTCTGAATAAAGTAATATCCTGATTGGTGATTGACCTTGTCTCTCCTCATCATTGATTGGAATTTCCACGACAATACCAAGCAGCACTTCATTCTCCGCCCCCTCTATAGCGCCCAATGCAATATACTGTAATAGACTGTACATGGGATACATATTGTCTTGTAGAGAGAACTTTTCTACCTGTCTCAGCTAAAGTGGGTGGGAAATACTCAGTAGGGTCTCTACTTACCAAATATGTGTAGTTTTGGAGGGGGACTGTGTTATAGACATATGCATTTAGTCCTGCATGTTATATTAATTCCAAAACAATACATGAATGCACTGTTGTTGTGTTTAATATCAGTTGTAAAGACAAAACACCTTAAAACTTTGTTTTGCTTACCCTGTTTGCTTCCAGTGTGAAATAAAATGTACACGAAGACAAAGACACAATCTAAACAATGATGGACTGGCATACCTTTTAACAACCTAGATTTTTGTCTTGAGCTAACAGCGCCGGAGAAGATGGCTGCCGTTTTACAGCCCTCTAACCAATTGTACTATTATGTGTGTTTTTCCGCGTTATTTGTAATTTATTTTGTACATAATGTTTCTGCCATCGTCTCTTATAACCAAAAAGAGCTTCTGGATATCAGGACAGCGATTACTCACCTCGTATTGGACGAAGATTTTTTCTTCAACGAGGCGGCCGCGAAGGATATCATACAGACACCCGACAAGGCCCAAATCCCCGTCATTCGCGTGAGGAAGAGACGGAGATATCGGGGACGGAGATCGGGGTGCCTTGTAAGGATCCGACGGCGAGCGAGTAAACTGCCTCTTCCATCAATCCTATTAGCCAACGTTCAATATTTTGAAAATAAAGTGGACGACTTAAGATTACGGTTATCCTACCAACGGGACATTAAAAACTGTAATATATTATGTTTCACTGAGTCGTGGCTGAACGACGACAATGATAACATTCAGCTAGCAGGCTATACGCTACATCGGCAGGACAGAACGGCTGACTCCGGTAAGACAAGGGGTGGCGGTCTGTGTATATTTGTAAACAACAGCTGGTGCACAAAATCAAATACTAAGGAAGTCTCGAGGTTTTGCTCGCCTGAGGTAGAGTATCTTATGATAAGCTGTAGACCACACTATTTACCAAGAGAATTTTCATCTATATTTTTCATAGCTGTCTATTTACCACCACAAACCAATGCTGGCATTAAGATTGCACTGAATGAGTTGTACAAGGCCATTAATCAACAGGAAAATGCTCATCCAGATGCAGCGCTCCTAGTGGCCGGGGACTTTAATGCAGGGAAACTTAAATCCGTTCTACCTAATTTCTACCAGCATGTTAAATGTGCAACCAGAGGGGAAAAAACTCTAGACCACCTTTACTCCACACACAGAGACGCATACAAAGCTCTCCCTCGCCCTCCATTTGGCAAATCTGACCATAACTCTATCCTCCTGATTCCTGCTTATAAGCAAAAACTAAAGCAGGAAGCACCAGTGACTCGGTTAATAAAAAAGTGGTCAGATGACGCAGATGCTAAGCTACAGGACTGTTTTGCTAGCACAGACTGGAACATGTTCCGGGATTCTTCAGACAGCATTGAGGAGTACACCACATCAGTCACTGGCTTCATCAATAAGTGCATCGATGATGTCGTCCCCACAGTGACCGTACGTACATACCCCAACCAGAAGCCATGGATTACAGGAAACATCCGCACTGAGCTAAAGGGTAGAGCTGCCGCTTTCAAGGAACGGGACTCTAACCCGGACGCTTATAAGAAATCCCGCTATGACCTCCGACGAACCATCAAACAGGCAAAGAGTCAATACAGGTCTAAGATTGAATCGTACTACACTGGCTCTGACGCTCGTCGGATGTGGCAGGGCTTGAAAACTATTACAGACTACAAAGGGAAGCACAGCCGCGAGCTGCCCAGTGACACAAGCCTACCAGACGAGCTAAACCACTTCTATGCTCGCTTCGAGGCAAGCAACACTGAAGCATGCATGAGAGCACCAGCTGTTCCGGATGACTATGTGATCACGCTCTCCGTAGCCGATGTGAGTAAGACTTTTAAGCAGGTCAACATTCACAAGGCCGCAGGGCCAGACGAATTACCAGGACGTGTACTCCGAGCATGTGCTGACCAACTGGCAAGTGTCTTCACTGACATTTTCAACATGTCCCTGACTGAGTCTGTAATACCAACATGTTTCAAGCAGACCACCATAGTCCCCGTGCCCAAGGACTCTATGTGACTAAATGACTACCGACCCGTAGCACTGACGTCTGTAGCCATGAAGTGCTTTGAAAGGCTGGTCATGGCTCACATCAACAGCATTATCCCAGAAACCCTAGACCCACTCCAATTTGCATACCGCCCCAACAGATCCACAGATGATGCAATCTCTATTGCACTCCACACTGCCCTTTCCCACCTGGACAAGAGGAACACCTACGTGAGAATGCTATTCATTGACTACAGCTCAGCATTCAACACCATAGTGCCCTCTAAGCTCATCACTAAGCTAAGGATCCTGGGTCTAAACACCTCCCTCTGCAACTGGATCCTGGACTTCCTGACGGGCCGCCCCCAGGTGGTAAGGGTAGGTAACAACACATCAGCCACACTGATCCTCAACACGGGGGCCCCTCAGGGGTGCGTGCTCAGTCCCCTCCTGTACTCTCTGTTCACCCATGACTGCATGGCCAGGCACGACTCCAACACCGTCATTAAGTTTGCCGATGACACAACAGTGGTAGGCCTGATCACCGACAACGATGAGACAGCCTATAGGGAGGAGGTCAGAGATCTGGCCGTGTGGTGCCAGGACAACAACCTCTCCCTCAACGTGACCAAGACAAAGGAGATGATTGTGGACTACAGGAAAAAAAAGAGGACTGAGCACGCCCCCATTCTCATCGACGGGGCTGTAGTGGAACAGGTTGAGAGCTTCAAGTTCCTTGGTGTCCACATCACCAACAAACTATCATGGTCCAAACACACCAAGACAGTCGTGAAGAGGGCACGACAAAGCCTATTCCCCCTCAGGAGACTAAAAAGATTTGGCATGGGTCCTCAGATCCTCAAAAAATTCTACAGCTGCACCATCGAGAGCATCCTGACTGGTTGCATCACCGCCTGGTATGGCAACTGCTTGGCCTCCAACCGCAAGGCACTACAGAGGGTAGTGCGTACGGCCCAGTACATCACTGGGGCAAAGCTTCCTGCCATCCAGGACCTCTATACCAGGCGGTGTCAGAGGAAGGCCCTCAAAATTGTCAAAGACTCCAGCCACCCTAGTCATAGACTGTTCTCTCTGCTACCGCACGGCAAGCGGTACCGGAGTGCCAAGTCTAGGTCCAAAAGACTTCTCAACAGCTTCTACCCCCAAGCCATAAGACTCCTGAACAGCTAATCATGGCTACCCGGACTATTTGCACTGCCCCCCCACCCCATCCTTTTTACGCTGCTGCTACTCTGTTAAGTATTTATGCATAGTCACTTTAACTCTACCCACATGTACATATTACCTCAACTACCTCAACTAGCCGGTGCCCCCGCACATTGACTCTGCAACGGTACCCCCCTGTATATATAGCCTCCCTACTGTCACTTTATTTTACTTCTGCTCTTTTTTTTTCTCAACACTTTTTTTGTTGTTGTTGTTTTATTTTTACTTTTTTGTTTAAAATAAATGCACTGTTGGTTAAGGGCTGTAAGTAAGCATTTCACTGTAATGTCTGCACCTGTTGTATTCGGCGCATGTGACCAATAAAATTTGATTTGATTTGATTTGATTAACCTAATGGGGATGGCAATGGGTGCACCTTTACACATTTAAATCAGCCTAATATGAGGATGGTTGTTTTAACTTGTGCTCCTTCCAACCTCCCTTCGAATTGCTGGGTAGCATATCCTACAGCCTTGACATGTGCCAGCCTTGACGTGCCAAAAAAATGCATCAGGTCAATCACTTGGCCTGACAAATAAAATAATT